ATTTATATATCTATCTGTGTTACACACATAATACTTCATATATTAGGTCAGCTATATGCAACATGTATAGGAGTCCACGGCTGAACCATGTACAGACTGTCACCTTGTCAGCCATGACAGATGAGAGGTTGGTAGGGTACAGAACAACAGTTGACACTCTACACATACAACTGTAATATCAGACAATTTTGAATTGACAAAATGTTTAGGATAGGAAAGTAACCAGCTTTTGCTAAATCAATAGACAAATTTCTTTAGGTTTTGTATTGATGTCAGTACAGGAGCCTGGACTTTTGATGGGGTTTTATTGAGTCCATCTGAAGATCATGATAATTGTTGAATGCCACACTCAGCAATATCAGCTCCCTCACAGCCAGCATGAATAGCTGGGATCTCCTCTAACCCTGAATATCCTCAAGGGAGATACAGAGGTGGCAACAGACCTAAGATAAAGTCTAGAGGCACAGGGATATAATACAATCACAGTACCTACTGTCCAGGCTGTCCTATAGATCATTACATCAAGCCAGAGTTCATCCATGGTTTCACTGAACTTCTGACAGACTTGGAAGGTATATCGATAAATAGCACTAAACCAAACTGTAACAACTACTACAACTCTAACACTGGACAGTAATCCTAACCAGATAGGGATGGTATGGGGTGTTGAAGTATCACACTATGACACAAGACAGAGGCTGAATGCTACAAACACTGTGTTTTCCCAGCATTTTTACCAAAACAGACATTCTTTACCAGAACAGATCACACAGAATACTACCTACTTATTTATAATTAATCTGTCCAACAGTTGTTAAATAACTCATAAGGTTTTGGTCTTTGATTTACTAATATCAAATGGTTGTTAAGTTAACAGACATTCTATGCAAGAAGAGGGTCACACATAGGAAAAGAGAGGTTGTTTAACCATGAAGAAAAAAACAACTCTGGCCTATGGTCTAAACAAGGGAAGTATATTTCTTCAGAATAATTCAGAGACTGCAAGAACCCATTATTCAGCTCTGAGTAAAATCTGAGAGTGACATCCTTCTTGACACTACTTGGCTACTTCACACAAATAAAACATTCAAACAGTTGTGGTTTGATTTCCCCAAGGCAATCTCGTATAACCTTGCAATAAATCTCCAGAAACAGCATGTAACAAAGGATTGAAGTATTTCATCACTGGTATTGTCAACATGTGGAATGATACAGGCACTTGACCATCAACAAGGCGGGATGTGTGCGGACGGGAATCGGGGCAAGGGCAATAACAGAACAGAATGGACATTCACTGGTACCGATCAAACAACATTATCAAGTGTATCTGTGTCAGCCAACATGGGAGTCACTGACTGCTGACATAATGCTACATTTTGTCATTATCAAGTGTATCTGTGTCAGCCAACATGGGAGTCACTGACTGTTGACATAATGCTACAATGTGTCATTATCAAGTGTATCTGTGTCAGCCAACATGGGAGTCACTGACTGTTGACATAATGCTACAATGTGTCATTATCAAGTGTATCTGTGTCAGCCAACATGGGAGTCACTGACTGTTGACATAATGCTACAATGTGTCATTATCAAGTGTATCTGTGTCAGCCAACATGGGAGTCACTGACTGTTGACATAATGCTACATTGTGTCATTATCAAGTGTATCTGTGTCAGCCAACATGGGAGTCACTGACTGTTGACATAATGCTACAATGTGTCATTATCAAGTGTATCTGTGTCAGCCAACATGGGAGTCACTGACTGTTGACATAATGCTACATTTTGTCATTATCAAGTGTATCTGTGTCAGCCAACATGGGAGTCACTGACTGTTGACATAATGCTACATTGTGTCATTATCAAGTGTATCTGTGTCAGCCAACATGGGAGTCACTGACTGTTGACATAATGCTACATTGTGTCATTATCAAGTGTATCTGTGTCAGCCAACATGGGAGTCACTGACTGTTGACATAATGCTACAATGTGTCATTATCAAGTGTATCTGTGTCAGCCAACATGGGAGTCACTGACTGTTGACATAATGCTACATTTTGTCATTATCAAGTGTATCTGTGTCAGCCAACACGGGAGTCACTGACAGTTCACATAATGCTACATTGTGTCATTATCAAGTGTATCTGTGTCAGCCAACATGGGCATCACTGACTGTTGACATAATGCTGCATTGTGTCATTATCAAGTGTATCTGTGTCAGCCAACATGGGCATCACTGACAGTTCACATAATGCTACATTGTGTCATTATCAAGTGTATCTGTGTCAGCCAACATGGGCAGTCACTGACTGTTGACATAATGCTGCATTGTGTCATTATCAAGTGTATCTGTGTCAGCCAACATGGGAGTCACTGACTGTTGACATAATGCTACAATGTGTCATTATCAAGTGTATCTGTGTCAGCCAACATGGGAGTCACTGACTGTTGACATAATGCTACATTGTGTCATTATCAAGTGTATCTGTGTCAGCCAACATGGGAGTCACTGACTGTTGACATAATGCTACATTGTGTCATTATCAAGTGTATCTGTGTCAGCCAACATGGGAGTCACTGACTGTTGACATAATGCTACATTGTGTCATTATCAAGTGTATCTGTGTCAGCCAACATGGGAGTCACTGACTGTTGACATAATGCTACATTGTGTCATTATCAAGTGTATCTGTGTCAGCCAACATGGGAGTCACTGACTGTTGACATAATGCTACAATGTGTCATTATCAAGTGTATCTGTGTCAATGGGAGTCACTGACTGTTGACATAATGCTACATTGTGTCATGAACTATGTATTTGTAACAAGTTGAGCTTGGGAAACAACATAGTGAAAGACGTAACACTCACATAAAAACATAACAGTAACAATAACAGTGTTGTGCCTCGGTCGGCTTCCCACGCTGGTTCAGAGCCAATGTCAGTGGTACAACGTCCCTAGTAAGACCAACAGCCCACCAGTATGTCGCGCAGCATTACTATGACCGGTACAAGTATAGACAGTAGAATCAGGTTCTGGATATTTCATGATATATCATAACAGATCGATATAGAAAGTTCAAAACAAGCATTTGCTGTACATGAGTAAAATGGCCATTTTATATAAGTTAACAATGTAATATAAGTGCTTCAACGTGTGGTCTTGTCAAAACTCAGTGAAGCTGAAAACAACTAGTTCATTGTAGCGAGTGGGGGTTTAAGGTCATTTCATCTTTTCATTGATTAAATCAACTGAACAGGTAAATGTGGTATTGAAATCTTGTAGGTGATCTAATCACTTCAGGAAGTACCCACCTCTATTTGTAAATTTAACTTTCTAAACTATGTCATTAGTTAATGTCACATAGATTTTAATCTATGAAACTTGGTTACAAGGGGGTTAGTGTGGAGTCAAAATTAAACCCTTCGAATCTTTCAATTCAAACTTCAGTGAACCATTGACAAGATTTAGGCTTCAACTGCAGTCATTGAGGGATGGCTTTAGAGCACAAGTTACCTCCCTTGGTAAAAGCTCCTGAAATATCTGTTCTCCCTCGCCCTTCAAGGGATTAAAAGATTATTGTAAAATAAATGGCATCTTCACAAAGATTAGTGTGATATTTCAAACCATGAACCTTATACTGAGAACAATCAAACGCAATAAAACCCACTGTAAAATCTGGAATATCCATACGAGATCTATCACATAGACACACATCTGTGACAGTGGCAAGCAGCGTGACATTGGACATCTGCATGCACATCTACTACCCACAAGTCCCTTGACAATTACAACAGGATCCTGTTTCACAAAATAATCTTCACACTTAGTTGATCAGAACTCCAACAGCTCAACACTGACTGATAACAATAGGAGGACAAAAAGCATTCTGTGAAAAGAAGCCAGGTCTTGCTCATCTAAAATATTAGTTTCTGAACTTCTGAAGACACCATTGACTTAATAAACTTTGAACAAGCTTCATGCATGCAGTAATTCACTGGGTTTGTGTGGTGCACATAGAGGTTTTGATGAAGAGACTGATGTGTGTTTTGAATACACAGTTGCAACAAGAGCATGATACACTGGCAATACCACAGAATGTTAGTACCTTGAATATTTCAGCCAGGACTAAACCTTCACAAGGATTAACAATGTTCTCTCAAACATCCAGAACAATCTGAAACAAGCTTGACAATACAAACTACATTCCTGGAATTGAGGCAGTGATACACAATCAATACACAACAAGACTTTGACTCAATCGTTATAAAGGTATTTGACTGAATGTAAGGCAGTGCTAAAGCTATTTGAATATTCCAGACTCTACAGAGGAAAAGATCATATCAGGGAAAGCTGCAGTAAATCCTGTCAGAGCTACAGTTTGAAATGATCTATCATAAATCTCTCAACTCCCAGGCTTTCTGCAAACAAAGACAAAACATTGTCTAACTGTACCACTGGGCAAACCATTGACATTTTATCCGTATCAGTTTTAAAACAGATTATGCCATCATCAGAGCTACAGATAACATTTTGGGTCATTGAGTTATGTACTCACTTGTGTTCATCTCAATTGGGTATCCTAATTTTCCTTTGAGTAACCAATTAAATTGTACTCACCTCACTCAAACTCAATTGTGTATTTTGTCATTTTCCATTAATTGTAAAAATATAAGTTTAAATGTTATATATTTTGTATCTGTAATATGAGAAACGATAAGAAAGACTGAAAGTTGGCAAGTTCATGTGTTGAAATAGAACCTCTGAATATACCTCAGTTATTTTATCTATGCAAGCTAAGATTCGACATTTTTGTGTGTACGCATGCAAGATATAATTTATTGAGTATTTAAAAAAATTCAAGCATACTTGTACGCAATAGACTTGATAAGAATTGAGTTTGCACATAAATATTTGCGTAATTTACGCAGATACGCAGCTTATCTGTACCTCTGCATCATAAACCCCTGTAAATGGAGGGTGTGTTACGTTACCTGTCTTCCAAGAACCACAAAGGTTATCTATTACAGCTCGGAGCTCACTGTTGCCTTGGTTTGGGAACTGCAAGACAATCCAAAATAGTTTGCGCTGTTATAAACAGCCCTGCTAGTTCTTGAGACCAAACCATGATATGAACACTTGTGCCATGGACTGTCGTGCACAGACGTGGGCGAAGGCCAAGTTCACACCGAACACTTGAGCTCAGGCTCGGTGAATCTCACAAGTTCATAAAGTTCACACAGAACATTTAAGCCAAGGCTGGGTGTTTCACAAAAGTCCCCACACAACACTTGAGCCAATGCTCGGTGTTTCACAGAAGTTCACAGAAGTTCACACAGAACACTTGAGTCGAGGCTCAGTGATTCACACAAGTTCACACAGAACACTTAAGCTGAGGCTCGGTGATTCACACAAGTTCACACAGAACACTTAAGCTGAGGCTCGGTGATTCACACAACTTCACACAGAACACTTGAGTCGAGGCTCAGTGATTCACACAAGTTCACACAGAACACTTAAGCTGAGGCTTGGTGATTCACACAAGTTACACACAACACTTGAGCCAAGGCTCGGTGATTCACACAAGTTACACACAGAACAATTGAGCCAAGTCTAAGTACTCACACAAGTTCACATATTCGATATGGAGGGCAAATACATTTTTAGCCAGATCAGCTAACATCCTGTAAAACCTCTTTGATCAACCACTGTGATAACCAGTGACTGCTGTATCATCAGGTCATTCATAACTCAAACCAGGATGAGTTGACTGCCAAAGCAGACTTAATGCTTCATGGCCTGAGAAGCTGGTTTGATGTTTATCTGATTAGAATACCAACTTACTTTAAGTATGTATCCAAGTGAGAGCACGAGCCTTGATTTAGAGCTTTCCAGATAATTACTTCAAAAGCTTTCCTGATAATTACTTCAAAAGCTTTCCTGATAATTACTTCAAGAGTTAAGTAAATACTCAATGAATGCCTGAGAGCTGACAGTTCTAAGGGAACACTATTCTGTTCATGAGATCACAAGATGACAACTGACGATGACCTCCCCTCTAAAGCTGGAGCAACACAACTGTTCTCCTACTGGGGCTCCACTTCTCAGTAGAACTCCGAGTCTGAGCTCTGATATGAACCTGAGTAGTCCTTCCCATCCTGCACACTTCCTGCGGGGCTGCCTATGCTCACCTGGTCAGTTGCGTCCAGCGTCCTGGTCAGCCCTGAAGCATCAACAATGTCATGTGTCCATTAGCCATAATGAAAGAAGGGGGGTTAAAAGAAGGGAATAGGATTGCAAAAATGAATCCTTAAATGAATGCGTACAAACTTTGTCATGAGATAATCTACTGATAGTAATCAGACCATAAAGACAAAATAACCACCAGACAGATGACACATAGCTGTATCATACATGATAAAAATAAGTAATCCGCTAGGAAGAGTAAAACCAACATCACCACACATCGTTTACAGATCCTTTAGTGGGTATGGTTACACTTTACCCATAATTAGGCTACCCACCGCCACAAAAGATTTACAATTCAGTGTAATTATAAACAACACAATGCAGTAAATTCCCACCGAAGGCCAATTCATCGGGTCAAGCATGTCAGCCAGAAATGATCTGTAATGGTCTGTAATCACTAATGATTTACTGATGGCCTTGACATTATACATACATCAGCTCCCCGGACTTACATGACAGAAGACTTACCAAAAGCTGTTGTCTGATGATCGTATCTGATAGCGCGGCTTAACGTGTTGTTTGGTGTGCCCCCGAAGGGCATGTGGGCAAGAATTATGGAAAGACAATCAGCCACTCTGTTCGTGGGGGCACATGCTAACGCTGGCGTGTAGCCTGCAAAGGGAGACAACCCAGTTAATCTACAGCATTTTCAACAAAAAGCAACCCAAGTCTATCAAAATGAGCTATTCGATGCCAACACTCACATTACACTTGCAACAATCTTAAGTCTTAATATTCGAGAAAAAATGTGGACAAGATTAACTTTGAAAATGGAATAAGTCAGTGAGTTTGGGGCTTGTCTAACCTAATATCCTCACACCCTATCTCTATGTCAGGTGACGTCTGATAAAACGGAACACTTCTCTCCCATCAAATCCCACCATTGAACTATAGGTCAGTAGAGTATGAAACAGTCTGAATCAGTTAAAGTGTTACATCTGCCCCTAATGTTGCTACGTACCACTCTCATCCAAGGCAAGGAGACTGGCACCCTTTGATATGAGATCCTGCACCACTGGGACCAAACCTTGCTTGGCTGCCAGGTGAAGAGGTCTGTAGAGGACACAGTGAGTTTATAATAAAGTAAACAGAGTATTTGTTTTACCTAAGGCAAAATAATGCAGCTATTCCATGTGGAACAGAAAAACTAGTTGCTGACATAATAAAGAGCTATTCTCATGATCAGCCAGATTACATTGAAACTTAGATGGTCTACTAAGTCTACTATACATTACACCTGTTACTCCCTTGGTAATACATACATTGATAGTGGAGGTGCTATTTGTGGAGCTGGTCATCTCTCCATATTTTAGAACAAGAATGTATCACTGGGAACTTAATCTGAGGTTTCAGAGCCACAGAGTTGTCTTTGCCAATGCCTTCAACAGTTGGCCATGCATTAACAGTCTTATTAACAGAAGCCTTAAATAAAGTCTTACCAGTCAAACAATAACATCCATTTTTGCAAAACATTTGAACATTATATTTCAGATTCCCTTTCTATTTCACAAAAATCTCTGATACATGGTACTAACTATGATGCTACTTACGTTTTGAGTTCTGAGTTAGCCATATTTACAGTTGTGGAGTCTTCGATCTTATCCAGTAACAACAGAGCCACATCTTCTTTTGCCTGAAACATCCACAACACTGTGTCTCTGTATGTTCTCCTCAGCATATTTACAGCAATACTGAAACACTGCTCCTAATAGTATTATAGTCACATCAGCTTGATGTGATGCCGGTCTACAGGTTTACTAGTTCAGGGCTAGCCTAGTGCTTAAGTGTTTGCTCATCAGGAATAAGACCATGGTCCCATTCCCCACATGGGTACAATGTGGGAAGACCACTGTCCCTTCTTTGTGATAATGCTGGACCCAAATCCATACTCATTCATTCAGGGATCAATCCCTGAGTGGAACGTCTTACAAGGATCAGAATTTGGGCTTCTCACCACGAACAGATGATCCTGCAATGTCTCAGGGCTCAGATCTTTCAGCAAGATAATTAACATGTTTCACAGTTTCCTAGAGAATTTAGCACTCATGCAGTGTTTTGGTGTTGCTGAATGAGTGAGTTGAAACCTATCGTTTGATGAGAGAAACTTAACCAAACCTGCAGAGGTTTTCAATTCTTTGAAGAGAGTCGTCCTTGGGGTACATATTATGCATTTTCCGGCTGAAAAATGTCCTGTGACAGTTGTATCAATGTTTTTTGAATAAAAAGATTGAACAATAAATAAACTCTTTTATTTATTATACGGACCCTACCTCACGGAGTTACCTCCCTTAACGCATGCGCACCAACTGGGTAGGCTCCTAGACCCGTATCATCATTCCTTCTGCTGAATTCTTATCAGTGAACAGAATTGCGGGAGGCGGAGGCCCTACCCCAAGGGCGACTCTCTTCAAAGAATTGAAAACCTCTGCAGGTTTGGTTAATTCTTTCAGAGAGATCGATCCTTGGGGTACATATATATGCATAAACACAGACTCCCAAAGACCGGAGGCCAGGGAGGAGGGAATTCTGTCCAAGCACACACAAATATAGCGATCAGTATCATGGAAAAAAAATTGAACAGGCGCCATAACACTCACCTGTCACTTGTCCCAGTTTAGCTTCCGAGAGGCATTATGGGAGGGAACTGACAGGGAGGAATTGTGCTCAAAGACGACCTCTCTAGCATAATGAGACATTGCACGAAATGCGAATGTCAATGAATCCCCACCCACTAAGTGGCTACATGAGGAGCACCGTGGGGAATGCAAAATACCACTCACTAGCGATATAGTAACTCCGTGAGAGAATCGAAGGGGGTACAGGTTCTCTGAGTGAGCTCACAGTAGCAGACATGTCAATAATGGAATTATTGTACAGTAAGCGTCAAAACAAACCAATAAACCAAGACTCACTTTCGGTCAGGGTGGCATGACACTGTCCACTGGAGAGAACAGTGCGGCCAAAGCTTCGCGACGATTACGGGAATGCGTGTCGAGCTGATAATGCCGTATAAGCGTGCTTGGCCGGCTCCAAATAGCGGCGGAGCAGATCTCTTCAATGGGGAGTGCGATGCAAAAGCTTTTGGCGACTACTGCCCTGACCGAGTGAGCCTTCAACCCCTCAGGGGAGGCTTGCCCTTAGCCTGATAAGCGGCACAAATACGAGACTAGCCAGCGAGACAAAGTCTGCTTGCTGCGCTGGCAGACCAGCCTTCCCGCCACCGTAACAACAGAACAGCTGGGTACCCGTCACGGATCCCCTGCGTTAAGTTTGATATAGACTTTGAGCGTCTTCTACGGACATCCAGCGGGTGAGTGCTTTCGTGAGTGGTCCCGATGTGGAAGGCTGGGTAAGAGTAGGAAGTTCGATAGGAGCTGTCACATGGAAGCGTGATCGACCTTGATTCGGTGCAAGTATCTGGGAGGCTTAATACTGACCGCGATCCGTGTGAAACACAGTCAGCGCCCGGGTCGGACTGACATAGCATGTAAATCGCCGACCCTACGACCAGATGTTACCGCCACCAGAAAAACAGCTTTCCAGGTCAACAACGGAATGGAAATAGCCGATAGGTGTGAGAAAGTGGGACGGACAGCCAATCGAGAGCACGATCGACAAATCCCAAAGGTGGACTGGTTAAGCCTGAGGGCAGGTCGAATCCGTTCAGCCCAGCGGCGCTATGCGAGAGGGTGCTGCCCCAGAAGAGCACCATCGACAGGGGTGTGAAAAGTGGAAATAGCGGTGGAGTAGCCGCTGAATGGTCGAAATGCCGCCAGGCCTTCTTCCAAGCGAGCTTGCAAAACTCCAATACTGGGACTAAATCCGCCCAGAAAGGGATCTGCAATCCCTTATCTGAACACCAGCGCATAGCGGGACCACCTATCCTCGTACTGAGCGTTTGTCGAATCCCTACCGAAGCCAGAATTGTGTCTGCAACTGCTGCAGGAATTCCAGCGTGCCTCGAGGGTAGACCTGACAGAGGCCAAGCCACCCACTGAATCCGTGGATTTGGGTGGGCGCTCCGTTCTGAGTGAGAATGTCCGGTCGCAAAGGTAATAGAACAGGAGGCTGAGCCAGAAACCTGAGAATTACCGAAAACCAGCTCTGTGGCGGCCAAAGCGGTGCCAGTAGCACAAGTAGCGAGCTGGCTGGGTGGACAGCTGTGAAAGGACACGGGGAATGAGTGGTAGCGGCGGGGCAGCCAGAGCACTTTGCCCGTCCAATCCAGCAGGAAGGCGTCGGCAGCCAACGCCCCTGGGTCCGGTATCCGAGAGCAGAACACGGGTGTCTGATCCACAGATCCACCTCGAACGACCCGTACAACTGGGAGATTACTGTGAATATCTGCCTGTCGAGCATCCACTGTGCGGGGGCCAGGATCCGGGCGAGAGGCGCATCTGCTCGCATCGCCGTTCTCCAGCCCGGGAGATAAACAGGGAGTACCTGACAATGCACTGCTGAATTGGCACCAGAGGAGAAAGTCCCACGCTTCCCGGGCGCTGGGGACACCGTGCCTCCCTGCTTCAGGATGTACGACATGGCCGTCTGGTTGTCTAACTGAAGGCGGACTACCTGGCCACGGACATGCTCTCTGAAGCTCGAATACCAACCGCACAGCTCTCAGTTCCAACACGTTGATGTGAAGGTGGGCTTGACTTCGACCAGAGTCCGGAAGCCGACAAACTGCCCAGAACACCCCAGCCCGTGAGGGACGCGCGGTCTGAACTGTGAGAGCTGGAGTCGGGTTTCCAAGGGGAACCCCTGGTGAGATTCCCGACATTTGTCCACCACTGAAGGTGAGGTGTCAACCACTTTCGGGGGACTGTGAGACTGCGCTCCAGATCCTCCGTGTGAGTCCACAGCCGAGCCAAAGCTTGCTGTATGGGGCGCATCCTCAGCACCCGCCACACTACAGAGATCGTCGCCGCCATATGGCCCAGTAGACGGAGCCAAGTCCGTGCTGGTGCCTGGGGCTGGGAGAGGAATGAAGATACCATCTCCCGAACTCTGGTGACCCGGTCGGGCGACAAGGAAGCGAGATCCTTGTTCGTTTGGAATCGGCTCCAAGAAAACCAAGTCCTGGGTGGGTACCAGGTCGGTTTCTTGAGGTTGATGATCCACCCCAGTCGAGTTAGAATGTCTATCACTGTGTGAGTAGCATCTTGACTTCGCTGGCTGTGTTAGTGCTCCGAGCAACCAGTCGTCTAGGTAAGGGTAACAACGCCTTCCTTGCGGCGAGCTAGGGTAGCTGGGACTAACATGAGCTTGGTGAACACCCTTGGGGCAGTCGATATGCCGAAGGGAGCACCCTGAATTGGTAATACATCCCGTCGTAAGAGAACCGAAGGTACTGCTTGAGCGATGGATGTATGGAGTACATGCGAATCGCATCCTTTAGGTCGATTGGCGTGAGCCAATCGCCGGGCTGAACAGATGAGATCACCGGCGCCCAGTGTCTCCATCTTGAAGGATGGTACTTCGAGCATCGCGATTCAACCCCTTGAGGTTGAGAATCGGACGGAACCCGCCGTCTTTCTTCGGGACGAGGAAGTGCGTGGAATAAAATCCGCCTGTTCCTCTCCCGGTGGAATGCGCTCGATTGCGGACTTGTCCAGCAGAGCCTGAACCGTCGCGCAATATGTCCGCCCTGGCTTGACATGGCGGCGGCACGGAGTCGCGGCGTATGCGGTGAAGTCGGGGCGGACCTCGCTTCCACAGTGGGAGATGGCCTATGCTGACCGTGGCCAGCACCCAAAGCGTTGTTGGTAGCCTTCTCCCATTCCGGCAGGAATAGAGAGCTGACCTCCCACTGGGATATGGGGTAGGATCGCGTGTGTAGACCCGGTAAGCGGAGCTGACTGGGCGTGACACCGCGGCTTGGCGGCAGCCCTGATGGGTTAACGGGAGGTCAGGGCAGACCTCCAGCGCCCTTGAGCTGGGAGCTAGTCGAGGACTGCTCCTTGCCCCTACCCTTGGCAGGACCTGTTCCTCCGCCTACCCCTACCAGCGGCGAAGCCAGCCGGCGAACTTCGGGTGTAGGCTGCACCCGGCGAGGAGGAAGGTGGCACGAAGGCCGAGGGCGAGACACCTTGGGTGCTCCAACAAGGCCTTAGAGTCCTTGAAGGAGGTAGCTGCAGCGGCAGCCTCCCATTATGACCTGCTGGGCCCGGGAAGAGGGTGCGCTCCCAGGCGGAAAGGGAGGGGCCAGCAAGGTCTGCTGTGTTGCTGCCGAGTACCTAGGCGTCGACAGCCACAGCCTGCGCATCCCCATGACTGCGCACATCACCGTCGGCGCAGCAGACCGCCAAAGAGTCGCCGCGAGTGAGCCTGAACTTCCGAGCTGCTGCCGGAGCAGCACGACATGCGGCGACACGTCGCCAGCATGCCCCTCCGCCTCCAGGGCCGACCTCTGAACCGAGGAGAGGTAGGCCTCATGGACCACCACCGCACCTGCTGCATCGGCGTTCCGGTAGACCTCCCTCGTAGGTCGATGCAGCGTGCCGCCGAAGGCGCCAGCGAGGGCAAAAGGTGGAGTAAAGAGCCCTTGCCGAGCAGCGGAGCTGCTCGGAGGAAGCCGAGCCTCCCAGGGCGGCGGAAGTGAACACACATTAGTCTACAATTGGCACAACGAACAGGGAATCCTCCCAAGCTGGTAGCGCCCGCCGCGAGATCCGGTAAGTCAAGCCGTGCTTTCGGGCACCAGACAAGAGGGATCGACCCGTCCGAGACCAGCGAAGGCAGAATCTTGCGGAGCTCGTCTGCGAGGGTTGCCTAGGGGCAAAGCGCCTGCGCCTGGCAGCGGAACTCAGTCGAGTCCGCAACCAGCAGGCACCGCGGCCTGGGGTAGGCCCTCGGCAATTCTCTGCGGACCTCCCGCAAGGCGAAGCAAAAAGCGGAAGCCGCCGTCATGCTCCTCAACCTCCCAAGCTCCATTGACTCGGCGGCCCGAGCCCGAGTCGAGGCTGGGTCTCCTCCGTAAGAGGACCCTAACCCTGACCCGGTGGACTGCCTAGGCGCTAGGAACCACAGGAAGGGAAGAACAGACAGAGCGGCTCCACGTCAGCGCCAGCCCGGCGTCGTGGACCCCGGTCCCGAGGCGGCTGGAGGCAGGCCAGGCAGAACTGGTGCCTCCCGCTCTCATGGGGCGGGTGTGCGCAGGACCCGGAATACCAGGAATACTCAGCGGTCCCTGCGCTAACTCTGAGGGGGGACTGGGAGCACCTCCCTCTCGGGAGCAGCCCGAGGCGTCGGATCCAGAAGCCAGAGGCAGCGGATCTACAGGCGCCTCAAGGCTGAGGATCGAGCGAGCCCGGCGATCCCACCCGGACTCTCCGCCCCGTCCGAGTGTGGGTGAGAACTCCTGCGGGAGACCTCCAACCGACTCCCGAGCGAAGGACTTCCGCGGAGGAGGCCATATGCTGCTGAAACATAGATTCCATTACCGACATGTCAAAACCACTTTCGAAGTGGCAGGAGAGGGGAAGGGCCTCGGGATTTTTTCCCTTTTTGGCGTTCCTTTTGTTTTAGGCGGGGGACCTGCGTCAGGTCCCCTCCCGCCTCCGCATCTCCGCGATAAAACAGCGTGTCGGCCGCCCGCCTCTTCTGGGCCGGGGAAAAGGCCAGACAAATAGGGCAGGAATCAGCGTCGTGTCCCGTCTTTTCCAGACAGGCAACACAGTTTGTATGACTGTCGGCCCGGGGATACTACCCCACAGACCGAACAGGATGAAAAGGCCTGAAAACAAACACGCAAAGCATGTTAGTTAGCGGCCAGCAGCATATAAACCGTAGAAAACATTGAAAAATCGTGAAGGTTACCCGCGAGTAATAGTTGGTTTTAATGCGCAATATTACAACCACGGCACGCTAAACTTCCGCCATGGCAGAGCAACACTTGCGTAAACCCGCGGAAAGTTCGCGTATTAGAATAAATACAAAGTCACAATTATGAAACAACCAACTGTAAAGCTTTACTGTTCCTTGTTTAAGGCAAAAAAGACCAAACATACAGGTGGTGTCTCAGACATAGCGGTATTCAGCTGTGTAACGGCTCATGAATGGTTACATATAACGTCTGTTCACGGCAGTGACAGTAGAAGGAATGATGATACGGGTCTAGGAGCCTACCCAGTTGGTGCGCATGCGCTAAGGGAGGTAACTCCGTGAGGTAGGGTCCGTATAATAAATAAAAGAGTTTATTTATTGTTCAATCTTTTTATTCAAAAAACATTGATACAACTGTCACAGGACATTTTTCAGCCGGAAAATGCATAATATGTACCCCAAGGACGACTCTCTTCAAAGAATTGAAAACCTCTGCAGGTTTGGTTAAGTTTCTCTCATCAAACGATAGGTTTCAACTCACTCATTCAGCTTCAGCAACACCAAAACACTGCATGAGTGCTAAATTCTCTAGGAAACTGTGAAACATGATAATTATTCAAAAAACATTGATACAACTGTCACAGGACATTTTTCAGCCGGAAAATGCATAATATGTACCCCAAGGACGATCTCTCTGAAAAAGAATAACACATACATGACAAATATATTTCCACAGTATAGCAAGTATTGAGCAATATGTCCACCTACATTGAAACAGGCATGGTGTAGCGGTGAGTTCTTCTCAATGTCAGACACAGTGAGTTCAGCACCACTCTCCAGCAACAGTTCTGTAACAACATTCTCAACGAATAACAACAGCTCTGTAACAACATTCATAATGAAGAACAGCTCTGTAACAACATTCACAATGAAGAACAGCTCTGTAACAACATTCACAATGAAGAACAGCTCTGTAACAACATTCATAATGAAGAACAGCTCTGTAACAACATTCATAATGAAGAACAGCTCTGTAACAACATTCACAATGAAGAACAGCTCTGTAACAACATTCACAATGAAGAACAACAGGTCTGTAACAACATTCACAACTAATAACAGCTCTGTAACAACGTTCATAATGAATAACAGTAGCTCTGTAACAACATTCATAACGAATAACAGCTCTGTAACAACATTCACAATGAAGAACAGCTCTGTAACAACATTCACAATGAAGAACAGCTCTGTAACAACATTCACAATGAAGAACAGCTCTGTAACAACATTCATAATGAAGAACAGCTCTGTAACAACATTCACAATGAAGAACAGCTCTGTAACAACATTCACAATGAAGAACAGCTCTGTAACAACATTCACAATGAAGAACAGCTCTGTAACAACATTCATAATGAAGAACAGCTCTGTAACAACATTCACAATGAATAACAGCTCTGTAACAACATTCACAATGAAGAACAGCTCTGTAACAACATTCATAATGAAGAACAGCTCTGTAACAACATTCATAATGAAGAACAGCTCTGTAACAACATTCACAATGAAGAACAGCTCTGTAACAACATTCACAATGAATAACAGCTCTGTAACAACATTCATAATGAATAACAGCTCTGTAACAACATTCACAATGAAGAACAGCTCTGTAACAACATTCATAATGAAGAACAGCTCTGTAACAACATTCATAATGAAGAACAGCTCTGTAACAACATTCACAATGAAGAACAGCTCTGTAACAACATTCACAATGAAGAACAGCTCTGTAACAACATTCATAATGAAGAACAGCTCTGTAACAACATTCACAATGAAGAACAGCTCTGTAACAACATTCACAATGAATAACAGCTCTGTAACAACATTCATAATGAAGAACAGCTCTGTAACAACATTCACAATGAAGAACAGCTCTGTAACAACATTCACAATGAAGAACAGCTCTGTAACAACGTTCATAATGAAGAACAGCTCTGTAACAACATTCATAATGAAGAACAGCTCTGTAACAACATTCACAATGAAGAACAGCTCTGTAACAACATTCACAATGAATAACAACAGGTCTGTAACAACATTCACAACTAATAACAGCTCTGTAACAACGTTCATAATGAATAACAGTAGCTCTGTAACAACATTCATAACGAATAACAGCTCTGTAACAACATTCATAACGAATAACAGCTCTGTAACAACATTCACAATGAATAACAACAGCTCTGTAACAACATTCACAACGAACAACAACAGGTCTGTAACAACATTCACAATGAATAACAACAGGTCTGTAACAACATTCATAACGAATAACAACAGCTCTATAACAACATTCATAACAAATAACAACAGCTCTATAACAACATTCATAACGAATAACAGCTCTGTAACAACATTCATAACGAATAACAGCTCTGTAACAACAATCATAACGAACCACAACAGCTCTGTAACAACATTCACAATGAATAACAACAGCTCTGTAACAACATTCATAACGAATAACAGCTCTGTAACAACATTCATAACGAACCACAACAGCTCTGTAACAACATTCTCAACGAACAACAGCTCTGTAACAACATTCACAACAAATAACAGCTCTGTAACAACATTCACAACAAATAACAGGTCTGTAACAACATTCATAACGAACAACAGCTCTGTAACAACATTCACAACAAATAACAGGGCCCACTTGCACAGAACGATCTTAACGCTACAATTATTGTAAATCCTTAAGATCGCGATCTTAGGCTTCGGCTACAATCGCCATCGACTTGCACAAAGCGATTGTAGGCTAAGACCGTTATAAGTTACAATCGAAACTTACAATTGGTCCGGACCAATTGTAAGGAGCTAAGATCATTGTAGTCTGTGACAAAATGGTGTTCAAGTTTCACGCAAATAATTAGCTTTACATTTGGAGATAGCGTGCTTTTATATTGCATAAAACTGTACTGTATGATTAAGCCTCGACACTTCAACAACACGGAGAATGCACAACCCGATTTAACGTCCGGATACATTGTTATTTGCTGTAGTGAACCACAGAACTATCGAGTCGAAAAACAAAGTACTATTCCCAACCGATTCAATGTTGGAATCGTGTGAAACAACATACCTTTTGATAATCAAGGAAGGATACTAGCAAATGGTGTCGGCGTCGCGTTAACAATGGCCGTGACCTTTTCATTAACTCAAGAGCAGATAATTTTGGTTTATGGGCAAGATGGGAGTGGTTTCCCTGGCTTATGCCGTTGCCGTAGAGTCTGTCATGCCCAATGGCAGAGCTCAAGATATTTTCTTTTCGGTGATGGAGTGATTTTGTCTTAGTTAATCATTAAAGTAATCAAGTTAACGTGCAAAATCAAGATTCAATTTTAATTTCACTTTTAGAAAATATTTATCAACGCAATAGGGTCATATCATTAATATACTGTGAATGAGTATTTAACAACTGCTCTCTCGATATATTATTTGATATTAAGTATTTCCCTGTCATGGATTCTTTACAACACTTCTGTAGCCATATTACATTTTCTGGTTATATTGTGAAAACCAATACTTCTAGGGTATATTTTTGATTTTACACACAAAAAAAAAAAAGGAAAAAAAAGCTGTGCATTAAACAATGTCTCATTGACAACCAGTGGCAAATCATGCATTTAGGTGTTATATCATAAGTAAATATTGTCGATATTTGATATATTATTATAATTTTCATAATTATTAAGTCACTAAATCTAGACCCAAATTTATGAATGTATTTTTAGCAGTTCAATATTTTCATAAAACATGGGTAGGTATTTCCGTGGTTGAAATATCACATTCTCAATTCATAAATCAAGACAGTTAAAATGTAGAAAAATATATGCTATCGATCCCGCGTGTCGTTTCCTTGAAGATTTCTTGGAATGTTTGTCTTGAAAATTCTGCAAAGTGCGATTGAGGGAGGTATGTATTGTGTGCAGGGACCAGTATCACTCTCTATTTGCGCAGTATGCTATGCGCACTTGCAGACAACTGTAGACAGGAGTCGAGTTTAAGAAATTCGCACCTCCACCGTTGATGAGTCGCGATCTTAGCTAAGATCGCGATCTTAAATCCATGCGGTCTTACAATCGCGCTAAGATCGGCTTTGTGCAAGTGGATTAAGGCAATTGTATGGTGATTGTAAAGTTGATTGTAGGGGCCTAAGATTGATTGTAACTAAGATTGCTCTGTGCAAGTGGGCCCAGGTCTGTAACAACATTCATAACGAATAACAACAGCTCTATAACAACATTCATAACGAATAACAACAGCTCTGTAACAACATTCACAACGAATAACAGTGAGTGAGTGACAGAGACAGTTGGGTTATACAAACACAGAACCCCTTGTGCTTGGGGACAATAATACCGATATTCCAACATAAGAAGCAAAACCCAACACTGCTAACTGTACAGAAAGAAGTGAGATAGAGACAGCATTGTGAAACAGCCAAAAATATTCAAGTTAAACAACAACAGCAAGTGTGTAAGTCAATCAGAAGCGAGGAAACCACTGGTAGAAGTATGATACCACATGGGGGATTCACACCCCCTCAGCCTTTACAAACACCAGGGGCTAGGGATCTATCCCAACCCAGACATTTCCTCCATGTACTGACCTACTGAGGTGGCGTTTCCATTGATGGCAGCATACATGATAGCCGTCTTGCCTGCATAGTCTGCCATGTTGACGTCTGCTTTATGACTCAGGAGGATCTGGATGGACTCTCCCTGTTCTGAGTAAGCTGCCGCATGCAGAGGGGTCCTACAATGTCACAATCAGTCATCACTACAGATACGATCCTCCTCAATGACATACTCACTGTAGTCTTAAATATTTCAATCACTATGATCACAACTGATTGAAATGCTTAACCAAGTATCCAGTGATTTATCAAAACCTGCCCACAGGTTGGAATTCCCAAAGTCTGCAGAAAATACCAGTAATAATTCATAATTTTATTACAAATTTTCAGAACTTATCAGAATATATTAAACGAAAACCATTAAAACAAATCAAACTTCAAATGATACAACTTTTTTCCAATTTTCCTGCCAATGCAGTTTGTGTGGAAGCCTATAAAAATTCCTGGTATCTGAACTGTTTAAGAGTTACCAAAACTAATTAGACAGATACCAAAGATACTTTCATGCCAACTGCTGTTCCCATTGCAGACAAATCCAAGAACACAGAATGTTGAAGAACATCTAGTTTAACAATGTTAGCTGATAATTATCCCTACTAACACATGCATGCCCTCTGCCTAGCTTACCTGCCCTTGGAGTCCTGAATGTTGATCACCTCGGTGCCCAACGTCTCTATTAACAATTCCGTACAAGCGTCATTCCCATTTATCCTGCAAACAATGCCACCTTTCAAATTACACCTTAAAACAACACGTGAGTCATTTCTTTATCTACGGTTGTATTTGACTGAAACTATAAACAAATAACATTTCGAACTAAGAGGAGTCTTGTCTCAAACAAGTAGGTGAGGAGTAATTCTGCACATAAAGTGGACATACACTCATTACCAATCAATACATTCTTCATATTCCTCTTCAAGACCAGTCGACCTATGACGATAGGGGTTACAATTGGTCAGGACTTCTTGCTTGCTATAAGAGGTGACTAATGGGATCGCGTGGTCAGGCTTTCTGACTTGGATGAAGCATGTCATCGTATCCCAATTACGTAGATTGATGCTCATGCTGTTGATCACTGGATTGTCTGGTCCATACTCAATTATTTACATTTAGCTGTAATACTGATGAGTGTGGTGTGAAACTAACCCGCTCACTATTAAGTGAGCAGGAATGGGTTTCACAGTAAGTATGTGAAAAAGCACAATTCTCAATTTCATAGACTGTCCAGTCCAGACTCGACTATTAATAGGCCATTTTCATATAGATGGAAAATTGCAGAGCACAGCGTTAAAGAACAAGCAAACAAATATGACCAGTCAAGAGGCATTACTTACACAGCACAATGGAGAGGAGTGAAACTGTTTCCCGTAAAATATTTGTAGTGGTCATGCTCAAAAAACAATTCTATACAGCCGTCATGACCTGCAACACAAGGACATGACTGTATCACTGTTAACACAAGCATCACACAGACATTCAGCAAATCAGATGATTTCTCAGCTACCAATATCTTGTTTCCCGGATCAGAATATTAACAGGAAGCCACAGTTGTGGCTGAAAGGTTACTGACAGCAGTTGAGCCAACATCCACTCAATTGATCAATATGTTCTGAATGAAAAATAGGTAGGAGGTGAAAGAAAACCACTGTGAGGATGTTTTAATCAGACAGGCAGACAGATGAGAATGTTCCCTTTGAAATGAGAAGTGCCCTTGAACAGGTAACTTGACAAATTCTCACCATTATAACAACTAAAATGTAAAGGTGTGTAGCCTTTGGTATCTTCTAACTTTTCTACAGGACCCATCTGTAACAGGAAACAATGTCACATAATAAACATGCAGGATGAAACATGATTAGATCCAGCAACATAACAAACTACTAACAAAAACCATACTGAAAAGATAATCTATATTAGTTGACATTTTGATTCTATAGCCTAGTGTAAGAAATAATGGGCTATGAAGTCCACAGCGATCTGACAATGCTAACGAACATCATTGTTCATGTGCATCGTGTTATTGGATGTAATGGACAGGAAAGAAAGGTGGTGGTACTCCCTAGCTGACTGTACGCAGCTATCTGTCAACAACAACAGTGTAGTACTTACAAGAAGGAGGGAGCCCAGTAGGCCTACATGGCCACAAATGGCTGCCATGTGCACAGCCGTCCGTCCCAGGTTGTCCCTCAGAGACATGTCTGCCCCATGGTGTAGCAGTGCATCCACACACTCCTCGTGACCATTGGCAGCCTGAAGCATCAGGGAACAGACAGATTCATGTCAAGACAACCACATTACCCTTTTCCAGGTGAACAAAATCTTCCTTACAAGTAATATCTATGCTGAACAGGCACTAGCAAATTCACACAACTTACAACAGGCACCAGGACTTGATCCTCACATGACACAATACATGAGGTGCTTGTGATCTACCTCATCCCTAACAGGTGTTGAATCCTGCATCACACATTCTCACTACACTGAGGACCCATTAAGATCTATGTTAGAATTGTCTTCAGTAGCCCATGCTTGTCGTAAGAGGCGGCTAACGGGAACAGGTGGTGAGACTCGCTGACCTGGATGACACGTCATCATATCCAAATTGGGTAGATCAATGCTTGTGTTGTTGACCACCGGATTGTCTGGTCCAGACTCCCATTATTTACAGACTACAGCCATATAGCTGGAATATTGCTGTGTGTGGCATTAAACAACAATCACTCAAGTTATCACGACACTGAATCTGCAGATCATGATATTGTCTTGTAATAAATATAAATGAGTGCCCGCAAAAGATTTCAAAATGAGCACACTGACCCCTCTGTGTAATGCTGTCCTCCCATCTAGATCCCGAGCATTGACAATGGCACCATTCCTAATGAGGTAGATGGAAGCGTCAAGGTGACCATTGGCAACCGCCATCATCAGCGGCGTCCTACATGAAAACATGACAGTCTATGCAAAATGACATCTCAAAGGCCACATCAACATGACTTGGTTGTCGAAACAACCGATACCAATCTTGTAGTTTATTTCATCAGACAACAGGTATACTCTTTGTCTAAGTCAGATGTAAGTGGTAGTTTTCGAGCATGGGAATCATGTCTGTTTTATCCACTTCAAGCATATTACACTCACTACTAACCTGTCGTACATGTCTGTACAGTCGACGATGTTGCTGTCTTCTGCCGTCTCCAACAGAAGGTGAAGGCTCTTGGTATGACCATTTGTGGCTGAAACAGTAAAGACAATGACATCGGTCTGCTGATTCAAGTATCAACATTGCACTCCATGCTTCTGCAAGCAAGCTGCGAGAGTGCAGTGTTTCCAAAGATCTCAAGGCACCAATTCTAAATTTGTTTAGTTTTATCAATGCAGGGCTCTAAACACAAGAGTTGCAGATATTTGAACTCTTTACGGTCTGATCATATCAGCAGTCACTGATAGATTCATTTAGCTTCCTAGTGAAGAGGGGGTGGTGGGGTAGCCTAGTGGTTAAAGTGTTCGCTCGTCGCTGAAGACTCAGGTTCGATTCCTCACATGGGTACAGTGTGAAGCCCATTTCTGGTGTCCCCGCCTTGATTTGCTGGAATTTTGCTAAAAAAGCAGCAAAAAACTCAACTGAACTCTTAATGAAGATACAAATGTACAGCTTGCTAAATACACTGTTCCATCACTTGAGTTGCCTCCCCTTGCCCTTCCAAGAATGAAGATACAACATCCACCAACATGGAAGCACTGAACTCTGATTATTTCCCTTTACTGATGCATATCTCAGCTCCACACTCACCTGCAGCATGAAGAGGTGTGCGCCGCGTGATGTTGTCATGTACAAGAATCTTCGCTCCTTGTATCAACAACGTCTCCACGCAGTCAGTGTTACCACGAAAACAAGACAAGTCCAGCATGGTCCGGCCTGAAAAATATACACAAAGGCATTCAAATATCACAAATGTATGTAGAAGAAATGAGTGCAGGCTAGAGAAACTGACATTAACAGTAATTTCTAACTGTAAACATGCTGTGGATTAAGTATACCTACCATCCTGGTCCTTGACATCAAGATTCATCATGTAACCTAGCAACACGTGGAGAGCCTCGTTATGACCATTGTAGGACTGAAAACAGACAAATACACAAATATACCATATCATACACAGCCTCAGTGACTGAAATCTTGCATTTAACTGGATGGTGTCTTTTCAGTTTGCTGTGGATTCCATACAACTAAAGAAACCAACCCAAGGCCATACAGCCCAGTTTATGACCGATGGAAGGGAGACTGTGGTATTGTCAACATTAGCTGAGTTTACCACCCAGCAAAGCTAAACAATTCCTTAGAGAGCAATTCAGTTAACATGTTCAGTTCCATTCGTGAAGACTAATGCTTGTGATGGGATTCACTGGATTGTCTGGTCAATGTGTTGTTTAACAACAAACAAGCAAAACAAGTTCAGCATTATTTAAGGTGTCCTTATTCTTTCCAGCTATACTAATTGTGTCTGGGAACTCCTTGTTATTGATAGCCTTGACCTCCACTCTGAACTGCCAACATAATGATACATGCTGAAGTAACTCACAGAGAGATGCCCAGGAGAGTATGCTGCCCCGCTCCGTAACAAGTCCGTCGCTGCTGCATCCAGTAACTGCAGACATCACAGATAACAAATCTCACAACCTGTCTGACACAATACATAGGAGAGTTTATTGTTGAATCAACCAAACCGGTTTCTGAGCTTTATCACAAAACTTGTTAATCATGGCATGCTGTGCCCTGGATCTCTCGAGATGAAGGTTGTTTGTCATCAAGTGAGTAAGTGAGTTTAGGTATACGCCGCTTTTAGGAATATTCCAGCAATATCAGGGCGGGGACACCAGAAATGTGCTTCACACATTGAACCAATGTGGGGAATTGAACCAAAAAGAAAGCGAATGCTTTAACCACTAGGCTACCTCATCAAGAATTGACAAAGCTCAGACAGGACACGGATGAAACTTGACACTGACATTCCTCCTTCACTGTTGCAATCATATCAATATTTTGGGACAATTCACAAGCAGCACTGGGACACTGGGGACACTTGTTCTGAGAAAACTCTTTAAGGTACTTGCCATTTCTAAGGCTAACTTGTGTCCCTTGAGAGCGGCGTAGTGTACAGCATTATTGCCTTCGTCATCCTTCAGCCCTGGCCGACCATCATTCCTTAGCAGGTGCTCCACCACCCTGTAGAAAAACACACCAACACTCTAATCAACCTGACATACAACGACCACCCACTGCTCAAGAAGGTCACCTGTTAATACAGATCCACAATCGATGGGGGAATGTTTCATTGTAATATTCCATTTATGTAAGAAACCTATAACTGCAGACAAACCAGTGTTTAATGTAGTAATATTAAATCTTGATCGTAACAATACATCCAGTTGAGGTGACTGCTTACTTGGCATCCACATCGCTAGCAGCAGCGTAGTGTAGAGGAGTACACCCTTGTCTGTCCACAATGTTGACACAAGCACCTGCCGTCAGCAGGATGAGCACACACTGCTGGTGCACATTGGCTGCTGCATAGTGCAGAGGTGTCCTGAAACACAAACCATGTTTCTGTATCACAGTAATAGCACAGCAGGTTTCAGATAAATTACGTAAACACATTTTTTGTAATGTTAAAGGTTACCTTATTTAGAAATCATGACTCAATCTAATGGATGTCAAATGTAAACGACATGTGTTCCTACCTGCCTTCAGCATCCTGGCGAGTTAGATCACAGCCTTCCTGGAGGAGGTACTCAACACACTCCACCTTCCTGAAACATCAACGCCATTGTTGTCAACATCATCAACAGTGGCACTGTTAACTCATCAACACTGTCACAGTGAACTCATCAACAGTGTCATGGTGAACTCATCAACAGTGGCATTGTTAACTCATCAACACTGTCACAGTGAACTCATCAACACTGTCACAGTGAACTCATCAACAGTGGCATTGTTAACTCATCAACAGTGGCATTGTTAACTCATCAACAGTGGCATTGTTAGTGTGAACTCATCAACACTGTCACAGTGAACTCATCAACAGTGTCATTGTTAACTCATCAACAGTGGCATTGTTAACTCATCAACAGTGGCATTGTTAACTCATCAACACTGTCACAGTGAACTCATCAACACTGTCATAGTGAACTCATCAACAGTGGCATTGTTAACTCATCAACAGTGGCATTGTTAACTCATCAACACTGTCACAGTGAACTCATCAACAGTGGCATTGTTAACTCATCAACAGTGGCATTGTTAACTCATCAACACTGTCACAGTGAACTCATCAACACTGTCACAGTGAACTCATCAACACTGTCACAGTGAACTCATCAACAGTGGTATTGTTAACTCATCAACAGTGGCATTGTTAACTCATCAACAGTGGCATTGTTAACTCATCAACACTGTCACAGTGAACTCATCAACAGTGGCATTGTTAACTCATCAACAGTGGCATTGTTAACTCATCAACACTGTCACAGTGAACTCATCAACAGTGGCATTGTTAACTCATCAACAGTGGCATTGTTAACTCATCAACACTGTCACAGTGAACTCATCAACAGTGGCATTGTTAACTCATCAACAGTGGCATTGTTAACTCATCAACACTGTCATTGTGAACTCATCAACAGTGGCATTGTTAACTCATCAACACTGTCACTGTGAACTCATCAACACAGTGAACTCATCAACAGTGGCATTGTTAACTCATCAACACTGTCATTGTGAACTCATCAACAGTGGCATTGTTAACTCATCAACACTGTCACAGTGAACTCATCAACAGTGGCATTGTTAACTCATCAACACTGTCACAGTGAACTCATCAACAGTGTCATTGTTAACTCATCAACAGTGGCATTGTTAACTCATCAACACTGTCATTGTGAACTCATCAACAGTGTCATTGTGAACTCATCAACAGTGGCATTGTTAACTCATCAACACTGTCACGGTGAACTCATCAACAGTGTCATGTGTCATTATCAACTCATCAACAGTGGCATTGTTAACTCATCAACAGTCATTATCAACTCACCAACAGTGTCATTGTTAACTCATCAACACTGTCACAGTGAACTCATCAACAGTGGCATTGTTAACTCATCAACAGTGGCATTGTTAACTCATCAACAGTGTCATTGTTAACTCATCAACAGTGGCATTGTTAACTCATCAACACTGTCACGGTGAACTCATCAACAGTGGCATTGTTAACTCATCAACAGTGGCATTGTTAACTCATCAACACTGTCACAGTGAACTCATCAACAGTGGCATTGTTAACTCATCAACACTGTCACAGTGAACTCATCAACAGTGGCATTGTTAACTCATCAACACTGTCATTGAGAACTCATCAACAGTGGCATTGTTAACTCATCAACACTGTCACAGTGAACTCATCAACAGTGGCATTGTTAACTCATCAACAGTGGCATTGTTAACTCATCAACAGTGTCATTGTGAACTCATCAACACTGTCACAGTGAACTCATCAACAGTGGCATTGTTAACTCATCAACACTGTCACGGTGAACTCATCAACAGTGGCATTGTTAACTCATCAACAGTCTTTATCAACTCACCAACAGTGTCATTGTTAACTCATCAACACTGTCACAGTGAACTCATCAACAGTGTCATTGTTAACTCATCAACACTGTCATTGTTAACTCATCAACACTGTCACAGTGAACTCATCAACAGTGGCATTGTTAACTCATCAACAGTGTCATTGTTAACTCATCAACACTGTCATTGTGAACTCATCAACAGTGGCATTGTTAACTCATCAACACTGTCAACAGTGTCATTGTCAACTCATCAACAGTGTCATTGTTAACTCATCAACAGTGTCATTGTTAACTCATCAACAGTGTCATTGTGAACTCATCAACAGTGTCATTGTCAACTCATCAACAGTCATTGTCAACTCATCAACAGTGTCATTGTCAACTCATCAACAGTGTCATTGTTGTCAACTCATCAACACTGTCAACTCATCAACAGTGGCATTGTTAACTCATCAACGGTCATTATTGTCAACTCATAAACAGTGTCATTGTCAACTCATCAACACTGTCACAGTGAACTCATCAACAGTGTCATTGTTAACTCATCAACACTGTCATTGTCAACTCATCAACACTGTCACGGTGAACTCATCAACAGTGGCATTGTCAACTCATCAACAGTCATTATCAACTCATCAACAGTGTCATTGTTAACTCATCAACACTGTCACGGTCAACTCATCAACAGTGTCATTGTCAACTCATCAACAGTGGCATTATCAACTCATCAACAGTGTCATTGTCAACTCATAAATAGTGTCATTGTCAACTCATAAATAGTGTCATTGTTAACTCATGAGCAATATCCAAATCAACACTGTCTCTTACAACATCATTATCAACACCATAATTACAACTCTGTCATCAACATTGCTCAGATATCCAAAATGTTTTACAACATCATTATCAACACCATAATTACAACTCTGTCATCAACATTGCTCAGATACCAAATGTTTTATCCCTTCTGTAAGTCTACACTGAATACTAAACACATAACAGTACACAATAGGGAATCTCTGACTGACCCACTGCAGGCAGCTCCATGGAGACATGAACGTCCACCATCGTCTGGAATGTTGAGGTCAATGGATGGCATCGCGGAGCGGAGTTTCCGTACACAGTCCACGTAGCCGTTCAGTGCTGCTACATGGATCGGGAGCATTCCGCTGCAGCCGCGCCTGGAAGCAGACAAAACATCATGATGTTCTCAAGCTGAGAGGAAGGCTGTTCTCAGCAGGACATTACAACCTAGTAGTGAGTGAGGTAAGTTTAGATTTACTTCGCACTCAGCAATATTGCAGCTATATGGCAACAGTGTATATGTAATCGAGTCTGAACCAGACAATCCTGTGATCAACAGCATGAGCATCAATCTACACAACTGGGATACCATGACATGTGTGAATAAAATCAGCAAGTCTGACCACCCAATCTTGTTAGTTGCCTCTTACAACAGGCATGGGTTATTGAAGATCAATTCTAACCCGGATCTTCACAGGTCTGCCACCTAGTAACATCCATAGACAATAGCATGAGAATCCATAAATCCATTCAGCATATTCAGGTATGAAGGTGTATGAAAGTAAGCTGTGGTTATAACGACTTGAAAGGGACCACTATTTTCAACTCGTTATAACCACAGTTCATCATATATAAAGGTGAGGTGAGGTGAAATTGGGTTTAACGTCGTGCTTGAGAATATTTCGCTCATATGACGACGTGCATGCGTGTGTATGTGTATGTGCGGCTGCTTGTACTAGCCCAGACTTAAGCTGGTTTTATAGTGCTAGCCCACTGAGATACCATGCCGCAGTGAAGCATGAATACCCTACTCAGACACATTATACTGACTCCGAGCCGACCAGTCCTTGTTGTACCCATTAATGCCGAGCGCCAGGCAGGGACCAATAAGTACCATATTTTAACGTCTTTTTGGTTTGACGCGGTCGGGGATCGAACCCGTGACCTTCCGCTTTCCGGGCGGACGCTCTAACCACTACACCACGGAGGCGGTCTTCATATATAAAGCCACTGGATGGTACGAAAAGACCAGTTCATTATATCCATGACCTTGTGTTCGTTCTAAACATTTACAGTCCATGGTGACTTCCAAGGTCAACCTTCCAAATGAGGAAGCATTTTCGCTGAGCAATATATGAGAAGAAACATGGACCAGGATTCACTGAAATTCCTGCCCTGCCTTCTACTCACTTCATTACATCAGCACCGTTGTCTAGGAGAGTGTTAATGAGCAGTTCATGGCCATGTCGAGCTGCCACGTGAAGAGCCGTATTTCCACTCTTGTCACAGGCATTGATCTCAGCACCTACAGGAATATACACAATAAAGACTATACATCTACAGTTACTATACAAGATAAAGATAATACACCTACAGAAAGGATATCTCATATCTATAGGTAACAAATCAATGCTGGTGGCACCTAAATTGGCTTGAGCATGTTGAGAAACCTCATCTTAATGTTGATTAACAAAATGAACACTTGGACGAACTACAGTAGTTCCAACTGGTATTATTAAAGTAGTACTTTCAGTATGAGAAACGTCATTTGAAAAGTTTGGTGTTTCTTGGACCTGGAATGAGAATCCTATCAAATCTTTTGAAATCATATACTGCTTGCTCCCTTAAAAACAAGTATGTTTCTAGCTCCATACTCTACCCCATACTCAAAAACATTGTTACTTGTGACTGTGTATGGCTGTGAAAGAGTAACACATCCTGAGGGCTTGCCAAGATTAACACTTGTTCAGAAGGATCTCTGGGCAACCATATTCTGCTGGTATTTGCACCAATGTAGAGGACGTAACCCTGAACAAGACAAACTAATGGTGAACACCAGTCAACAGTGAAATACCCTGACCATGGTTTACAATTATGGAAATCAGAAAATTCCTGTTCTCATTATTTCATGAGAGGACTAAATTTATAAAGATAAATATTACTGAAAATGTTCAGAAAACAAGAACATCGTCAATACCTGAACATCAATGTCCATGCATAGCTATCATGCAACTATTCCTAAGTAACTCTTGCATGCATATAAACATACTGGCCTCACAAGCCAGCTACTAGCAATAGCTTCACAAGGTTCCCTAACTATATAAACATACTGGCCTCACAAGCCAGCTACTAGCAATAGCTTCACAAGGTTCTTTAACTATATAAACATACTGGCCTCACAAGCCAGATACTAGCAATAGCTTCACAAGGTTCCCTAACTATATAAACCTGCCTCTGTCGTGATAAACACAATATTTTATATGACACCTTGCATTAGATGTTCCAGACTGTAAAATAAGTACAGCACTAACAGAAAGCATGATATGCAGTAGGACTGTATACCCATGATACCATTGATAGCTGCATACAGACAACAGATGAACTGTCAGTGCAATCACAAACCACTATAGATAGAACAGGAACTTATACCTCCCCTAACAGAAGTAGCAAAGTGCCACTTTTAAGTATGGCAGAAAACTAGGACATGGAAGTAGAGGGCACACACCCTAACAACTACGTGTAATAAACATCCTTCATTCAAGACATGTACTGGTTTTGTTTATTCTTTCTTTGTTTCTTTTCTGGATGGTGGGTAGGGGAGTGTAGTATGGTTGGGAATTGCTTGAAATCTCATAATGGATGACTGGTTCATAACTAACGAGCAATCATCAAAAAAATTGGTTAGCATCATTTTTCACTTTCCTGTTCAGGTTCATATTGCAGATAAGTGCAAAGAAAAACAACATGTTGTTATCTGATGTTATATTTTTGGTGATATTTAGAAACTGCACACACTGCATTTGCAAAATTGCACATCCAAAGTAAAATTATGCAACTTGCCACTTTAAAGTGATGACTAATATATATTGAACATAAACTTCCTGGAGTCTTCAAGAAATATTCAGTCAAGTGTTTCAAAAACTAAAACAGTAGTTCCAAAATCGTTTATATTCGATTATGAGAAAATGTGATCGATTACTTGGTCGTTTGGTCATTCCAACCAATCTTCAATTATTTCAATTAATCGGAACACCACTAGAGTGTAGTAGGACAATAATGACGGGAGCTGGGTTGCTCATATGTTATTTTTGTGTTAATAACAGATAAAAAATAATAAGCCTAAGCTGTATTTCTGTGATACTAAATCTTTCAATTTGTTGTTGAGTATGATGACACCTGTGGTATGGTCAGTCCATATCATGATATGTATCGTATTACAAGATATCAGGTGACACTCAGCCCTAGAATGCAGAACACATGACCTCAGCTCATACATCTACCAGTAAAGCTGCAGGACAAGCAAGCAGTTACTTCACATATGTACTTGGTTAGAAGCTCAGTCCTTAATTCACCAGGCCATTTTATGCTTAAAATTTCATACAATAAACTTATGTCTAGAGGGTAGAGGCTGTTGTAGGGTCAAGATTGGTTTGAGACGGAAGCATCGTAATGCATTACTCTCCTCGTATCAGTTATCTCACTACAAACATAATGGGGTGTTACAAATGGCTTGACGGTTCAAGAACTCAGCAGCAGCAAGTTAAGTCAGCATTAGTGGCTGCATGATGTCTCACCATGCTCAAGGAGAGTCTGAGCTCTTGTAAATCTACCATGCAGAGCAGTCATATGCAGGGCTGTTCTACCGTCCTCACTCTGAAAACAGAACCATACTTATCACCAAACCCAATCCACAGACCCCATTGGGGCTTAATCAGGTTAACCACCAGCCCTCATCATGTATACCGATATCGTCATTGGCAGAAAGTACACAAGTTCTGCGAATTCCACACGGCACATGACAAGTACACTATAACAACGTCCAACCCAGCTCATGAGATGCCTATACTATAAACACACATTCCCACCTCCCATACACTGTCCTACCAGACACCATTACTGTATCACACATTCCCACCTCCCATACACTGTCCTACCAGACACCATTACTGTATCACACATTCCCAGCTCCCATACACTGTCCTACCAGACACTATTACTGTATCACACATTCCCACCTCCATACACTGTCCTACCAGACACCATTACTGTATCACACATTCCCAGCTCCATACACTGTCCTACCAGACACCATTACTGTATCACACATTCCCACCTCCAATACACTGTCCTACCAGACACCATTACTGTATCACACATTCCCACCTCCCATACACTGTCCTACCAGACACCATTACTGTATCACACATTCCCACCTCCCATACACTGTCCTACCACACACCATTACTGTATCACACATTCCCACCTCCCATACACTGCCCTACCAGACACCATTACTGTATCACACATTCCCAGCTCCATACACTGTCCTACCAGACACCATTACTGTATCACACATTCCCACCTCCCATACACTGTCTTACCACACACCATTACTGTATCACACATTCCCACCTCCCATACACTGTCCTACCAGACACCATTACTGTATCACACATTCCCACCTCCCATACACTGTCTTACCAGACACCATTACTGTATCACACATTCCCACCTCCCATACACTGTCCTACCAGACACTATTACTGTATCACACATTCCCACCTCCCATACACTGTCCTACCAGACACTATTACTGTATCACACATTCCCAGCTCCATACACTGTCTCTACCAGACATCATTACTGTATCACACACATTCCGAAGCTCCATACACTGTCCTACCAGACACCATTACTGTATCACACATTCCTACCTCCCATACACTGTCCTACCAGACACCATTACTGTATCACACATTCCCAGCTCCATACACTGTCCTACCAGACACCATTACTGTATCACACATTCCCACCTCCCATACACTGTCCTACCAGACACCATTACTGTATCACACATTCCCACCTCCCCATACACTGTCCTACTAGACACCATTACTGTATCACACATTCCCACCTCCCATACACTGTCTTACCAGACACCATTACTGTATCACACATTCCCACCTCCCATACACTGTCCTACCAGACACTATTACTGTATCACACATTCCTTAGTTCCTACACTGTCCATACACTGTCTCGTGCAACCAGACACTATTACTGTATCACACATTCCCACATTCTCCATACTCTTATACTGTCTTCCCAGACACTATTACTGTATCACACATTCCTAGGCTCTCTACTCAGACACCATTATTGTATCACACATTCCTAATTCTCCCCATACACTGTCTTACTTCTCAGACACCATTACTGTATCACACATTCGAAGCCTCCATACACTGTCCTACTAGACACCATTACTGTATCACACATTCCCACCTCTCCTATACACTGTCTTACCAGACACCATTACTGTATCACACATTCCCACTCCTCCCATACACTGTCCTACCAGACACCATTACTGTATCACACATTCCTACCTCCTACATACACTGTCCTACTCAGACACCATTACTGTATCACACATTCCTTACCTCCCATACACTGTCCTACCAGACACCATTACTGTATCACACATTCCCAGCTCCATACACTGTCCTACCAGACACCATTACTGTATCACACATTCCCAGCTCCCATACACTGTCCTACCAGACACCATTACTGTATCACACATTCCCTAAGCTCCATACACTGTCCCATACACCAGACACCATTACTGTATCACACATTCCCAGAGCTCCATACACTGTCCTACCAGACACCATTGACTGTATCACACATTCCGAGCACTCCATACACTGTCCTACCAGACACCATTACTGTATCACACATTCCCACCTCCCATACACTGTCCTACCAGACACCATTACTGTATCACACATTCCCACCTCCATACACTGTCCTACCAGACACCATTACTGTATCACACATTCCCACCTCCCATACACTGTCCTACCAGACACCATTACTGTATCACACATTCCCACCTCCTCCCATACACTGTCCTACCAGACACCATTACTGTATCACACATTCCCAGCTTCCATACACTGTCCTACCAGACACCATTACTGTATCACACATTCTAATTCTCCCCATACACTGTCCTACCAGACACCATATTACTGTATCACACATTCCATCGCTCCATACACTGTCCTACCAGACACCATTACTGTATCACACATTCCCACCTCTCCCATACACTGTCCTACCAGACACCATTTACTGTATCACACATTCCTAATGCTCCATACACTGTCTTACCAGACACCATTACTGTATCACACACTGAAAGCTCCCTCCCATACACTGTCCTACTAGACACCATTATTGTATCACACATTCCTAGCTCCATACACTGTCCTACTAGACACCATTACTGTATCACACATTCCCAGCTCCCCATACACTGTCCTACCAGACACCATTACACTGTATCACACATTCCCACCTCCCATACACTGTCCTACTCAGACACCATTACTGTATCACACATTCCTAATTCTCCCATACACTGTCCTACCAGACACCATTACTGTATCACACATTCCCACCTCCCATACACTGTCCTACCAGACACCATTACTGTATCACACATTCCCAGCTCGCCATACACTGTCCTACCAGACACCATTACTGTATCACACATTCCCAGCTCCCCATACACTGTCCTACTCAGACACCATTACTGTATCACACATTCCCAGCTTCCATACACTGTCCTACCACACACCATTACTGTATCACACATTCCCACCTCCCATACACTGTCCTACCAGACACCATTACTGTATCACACATTCCCATCGTCCATACACTGTCCTACCAGACACTATTACTGTATCACACATTCCCACCTCCCATACACTGTCCTACCAGACACCATTACTGTATCACACATTCCCACCTCCATACACTGTCTTACCAGACACCATTACTGTATCACACACTCCGAGCTCGCATACACTGTCCTACCAGACACCATTACTGTATCACACATTCCCAGCTCCATACACTGTCCTACCAGACACCATTACTGTATCACACACTCCCAGCTCCCATACACTGTCCTACCAGACACACCATTACTGTATCATTACATTCCCACCTCCCTCTCCATATACACTGTCCTACCAGACACCATTACTGTATCACACATTCCCACCTCCCATACACTGTCCTACCAGACACTATTACTGTATCACACATTCCCACCTCCCATACACTGTCCTACCAGACACCATTACTGTATCACACATTCCCAGCTCTCATACACTGTCCTACCAGACACCATTACTGTATCACACATTACGAGCTGCCATACAGTCCTACCAGACACCATTACTGTATCACACATTCCAAGCTCCATACACTGTCCTACCAGACACCATTACTGTATCACACATTCCCACCTCCCATACACTGTCCTACCAGACACCATTACTGTATCACACATTCCCACCTCCCATACACTGTCCTACCAGACACCATTACTATATCACACATTCCCACCTCCCATACACTGTCCTACCAGACACCATTACTGTATCACACATTCCCACCTCCCATACACTGTCTTACCAGACACAATTACTGTATCACACATTCCCACCTCCCATACACTGTCCTACCAGACACCATTACTGTATCACACATTCCCACCTCCCATACACTGTCCTACCAGACACTATTACTGTATCACACATTCCCATCTTCCATACAGTGTCCTACCAGACACTATTACTGTATCACACATTCCCACCTCCCATACACTGTCCTACCAGACACCATTACTGTATCACACATTCCCAGCTTCCATACACTGTCCTACCAGACACTATTACTGTATCACACATTCCCACCTCCCATACACTGTCCTACCAGACACCATTACTGTATCACACATTCCCAGCTCCATACACTGTCTTACCAGACACCATTACTGTATCACACATTCCCACCTCCCATACACTGTCCTACCAGACACCATTACTGTATCACACATTCCCAGCTCCATACACTGTCCTACCAGACACCATTACTGTATCACGCATTCCCAGCTCCCACACACTATCCTACCACACACCATTACTGTATCACACATTCAACATTCTTACACACTGTTATCGCAACCCGGTGACTAACAGATGGCTGGCAAAGACATTTAACAACAACATATAGCAAAACAGGACATCTCTCATCAATTGGTAACACAACTATAACATGTTGTCCAGAATCTGACTAATTTCCACCAAGAGCACTCGCAAAATCACCCATGTCTCTCCAACATGCTGCACTTACTTTTATCACATCTCCATTCACACATGTTCAATCTGATATCCCATTCCTGAACATTGTCATAACTGATTTAGTATATATAGCAGTAACACAAAAAGCCAAAACATGATCGGTGAAATGACAAATTATTTATACAATTATCTTGTTATTTAACAAACATGCATATCAAGGGTCACACAATAGTTATTAATTTTTAACAGAGTTAGTAAAAATCTGTCATAAAAAGCTTTTAAAAAAAAATCAATTCCAAATTCTACACTAAAAAACTCGGAATTTGACTACGATCACACCATGCATGTATGAACGTCCTGTTCATTATTCGACATGCACACATTCCAGGCAGTTGACCGTCTGCTTCAACTGCCAGCCAGCCAGCACCACTGGTCCTGTCTATCTATTGTCACACTTATACATGCTTTGTCACCTACTGGCGTTTATCGGGTCCTCCCCTTTCTTTTTGTCATTCTGTTTCACTTTTCGCCCCTGGTTTGTGGAAATGATCAAGTCTTATATTGCACGCACATAATGTCTGCATACATGAGGACTGCCAACCATCAAAATGAACTCTGTTAATCCTAAATAATGTTAATGCATTCACTCCATGACTTCAAATAAAAAAATTCAGTTAATATTATGTCAATTTCTCACCCTTTCAACTGATGTTAAGTATAATTATCATTTCCTTTTCCATGTTTAACCATCGGACCATAAAGCATGTGAAAGTTACCTGAGCTTTTGCGTTGCCGCCACCTGTAACGAGGATTTCCAGACATATCCCTCCATGTGTTGAGACAGCAGCATAGTGTAGAGGTGTCTGTAATTAGTAGATGTGAGCGATATTGTAAGTGTACTGACATTGATCATTTCCTGTCTAGTACGAAGAAATCACTATGTGGCTGAAATAATGCCCATGTGCCACTGAAGTTAAACTATTATGCAGAAACCATACCATGTTGTCTTAGAAAGGATGCATCTAATTCTCACCTACATATCACTTGAACAGATTGACTTTTAATCACAGGTTTAAAAGCAACCTCTTGCATGTTTGGTCAAATCAATTTGGCTTATCATACTCAGATTACTCAGAGTGACTGAATGTGGCTTTACACTGCCTTTGGCAGCATTCCAGGTGTATCAAGGCAGGGTACACCAGAAATGGGCTTACACATTGTGCCCTCATGGAGATTCAAACTTCTGCTTTAGGGGACATGTTTACTAAGCGAATCCAGGACAAAATTGTACTATTCCATGACTGTATATATACATGTCAACTGCAACTTGTTTAAACATTTGAAGAAACTGGGATTCATTACCAACACCTTGAAATAACCAAACATAACCAAATCCATATGAAAACAATAAATTAAGCACAGATGAAACATAGTTATCATAACCTGAATTATCGTAATACATTAGCATATTAAAAGCTTTTTTGAATTCTTTGTTGAATCAGACTCTGATGATGCATATTTACAAGTTGTTGTTTTTATGAAACACCGTTGTGCATTTATATACATTGGGTAACGTCCACATTCACCATAAACAATTACATTTGGTGTTTGGGGACCAACATTTAAGAACTTCTTACATGCAGATAAATGTACATTTTCAATCTTATAAAATTTCTTCATACCCCATACTTCGGCGCCATACAAAAGGATTGGTTGAATTTGGGTATAAAATATTTTGAAAAATATAGAATAGTCAACATTATCTAATTTACATAAGTGGTGTAGTACTTCTAGAAGTGCCTTTTTACCCCAAGATGATAAACTTAGCTAAACCTGTAGAGGTTTCCAATTCTTTGAAGAGAGTCATCCTTGGGGTACATATATGAATTTTCTGCGGCTGAAAATGTCATGTGATAGTTGTATCAATGTTTTAATAAAAATATTGTACAATAAATAAAAATCATTTTTATCTATTATACGGCCCCCACCACGTGGAGTTACCTCCCTGCTACGCATGCGCAGCCAACCAGGCAAGCACCCAGGCCCGTATCATCATTCCTTCTGCTGAATAAATCAGTGAACAGAATTGTGGGCAGGTGGGCAGCCCTACCCCAAGGACGACTCTCTTCAAAGAATTGGAAACCTCTACAGGTTTAGCTAATTCATTTTCATAGAGATCGTCCTTGGGGTACATATATGCATTAACTCAGGCTCCCAAAGACCGGAGGCCAGGGAGGAGGAATTCTGTCAAAGTACACATAAATAGCGATCGTTAGGAAGAATGTAACAGACGTCACAACACTCACCTGTCACTTGTCCCGAACCTTCCACGAGAGGCATGATGGGAGGGTAAGTACTTAGATCCGACCTCATAGGTTAAGCACAGCAATTCGCACACAGTACGGTCTGTCCGAAAGTAAAAAAAACCCCGCCCGTATCATGATCTATTAGAGAGCACCGTAAGGGGAAAAAACCAACTCACAACTGACCATAATCTCCGGAGAGAATCGAAAGGAGTTAGATAACACAACAGCGGATATATCAATAATACATAATTGAAAGCAGCATCAACTGTCCAGATAACCAAGACTCACTCGGTCAGGGTGGCAGGACACTGTCCACTGGAGAGAACAGAATGGCCAAAACGCGCACGATCACGTGAATGTGTATCGAGCTAATAGTGCCTGATAAAAGTGCTAGGCCTGCTCCAAATAGCGGCAGAGCATATCTCTTCAATGGGTAGTGCACTGCCCTGACCGAGTGAGCCTTCAACCCCTCAGTGGGAGGCTTGCCATTAGCCTGATAAGCAGCACAAACGACCGATACAAGTCACATGGAGAGCGTGATCGATCTTCTGATGGTAAGTATCAGGGAGGCGAATACTGACACAATCTGGATGGAACACAGTCAGCGCCAGGTCTGCCGACATAGCATGTAAGTCGCCGCCCCTATGCCCAGATGTTACCGCCACGAGAAATACAGCCTTCCATGTTAACAACTGAATGGAAATAGCCGACAGACAGGAGAACGTAGAACCGGACAGCCAATCTAGCACGATTGACAAATCCCAAGGTGGGCTGGTTCGCCTGACAGCAGGTCGAACCCAATCCACGCCAGCTAAAAAGCGCTGTCAGAAGAGGGTGCTGCCCCAGAAGAGCACCATCGACAGGGGTGTGAAAAGTGGAAATAGCGGTGGAGTAGCCACGAATGGTCGAAGCCGCCAAGCCTTCTTCCAAACGAATTTGCAAAACCTCAAATACTCGGACTAAATCCGCAGAAAAGGGATCTGCAATCCCCTTATCTGAACACCAGCGCACATAGCGGGACCACCTATCCTCATATTGAACGTTAGTCGAATCCCGCCTTGAAGCCAGAATTGTGTCTGCAACTGCTGCAGGAATTCCACGTGCTTCGAGGCTAGACCTGACAGAGGCCAAGCCACCCACTGAATCCTTGCATTGAGGCATGGCGCGCCGTTCTGAGTGAGAATGTCCGGTCGCAAGGTAATAGAACAGGAGGCTGAGCCAGAAACCTGAGAATTACCGGGGGCTGAGCCAACCAGCTCTGTGATGGCCATAGCGGTGCCAGTAGCACAAGTAGCCGAGCTGGCTGGGTGGACAGCTGGGAGAGGACCTGGGGAATGAGTGGTAGCGGCGGGAAGGCCCAGAGCACTTTGCCCGTCCAATCCAGCAGGAAGGCATCGGAAGCCAACTCCCTCTGGTCCGGTATTCGAGAGCAGAACACGGGTATCTGATTCGTCCCGCCGGACGCAAACAGATCCACCTGGAACGATCCGTACAACTGGGAGATAACTCCGAATATCTGCCGGTCGAGCATCCACTCGTGCGAGGCCAGGATCCGCCGAGAGAGAGCGTCTGCTCGCACGTTCTCCAGCCCCGGGAGATAAACAGAAAGCACCTGACAGTCGCACTGGTCGCACCAGAGGAGAAATTCCCACGTCTCCCGAAGGAGCTCTAGGGACACCGTGTCACTTTGCTTCAGGATGTACGTCATGGCCGTACGGTTGTCCAACTGAAGACGAACCACCTGGCCCTGAACATGCTCCCGGAAGCTCTCGAAAACCAAGCGCACAGCTCTCAGTTCCTAGACGTTGATGCGAAGGCAAGCGTCGGCTTCGACCAGAGTCCGGACACCAACAGACTGCCCAGAACACTCCCCCAGCCCGTGAGGGACGCATCGGTTTAAACTGTAAGAGCTGGCGTCGGGAGTTCCAAAGGGATCCCCTTGGAAAGATTCCCGACATTGGTCCACCACTGAAGGTGAGGAGACAACCACCCGGGGACTGTGAGACACTGCTCCAGATCCTCCAAGTGAGCCCACAGACTCGCCAAAGCCGTGTATAGGGCGCATCCTCAACCGCGCACTCCACACTACAGAGATAGTTGCCGCCATATGACCCAGGAGACGGAGCCAAGTCCGCGCTGGTGCCTGTGGCTGGGAGAGGAATAAAGACACCATCTCCCGTACTCTAGTGACCCGGTCGGGCGACAAGGAGTTGTGAAAAAACAAGTCCTGGGTGGGTACCAGGTCGGATTTCTTGAGGTTTATGATCCACCCCAGTCGAACTAGAATGTCTATCACCATGTGGGTAGAATCTAGGCTCGCTGGCTGAGTTAGAGCGCGCTGAGCAACCAGTCGTCGAGGTAAGGGTAACAACGCCTTCCTTGCGACCTTGCGAGAGTAGCTGGCACTAACATGAGCTTGGTGAACACCCTGGGGGCAGTGGATATGCTGAAGGGGAGCACCGTGAATTGGTAACACATCCCGTCGTAAGAGAACCGGAGGTACTGCTTGAACGATGGATGAATTGGCACATGTAGATACGCATCCTTTAGGTCGATCGACGTAAGCCAATCGCCGGGCTGAACAGAGGAGATCACCGAGCGAAGTGTCTCCATCTTGAAGGATGGAACCTCTAGCATGCGATTCAACCCCTTGAGGTTGAGAATGGGACGGAACCCACAATCCTTCTTCGGAACGAGGAAGTACGTGGAATAAAATCCCGCCTGTTCCTCGCCCGGTGGTATGCGCTCTATTGCGAACTTGTCCAGCAAAGCCTGAACTTAGTCTCGCAGTATAGCCGCCCTGACCAGACATGATGGCACCAGAGTGGGACGTATGCCGGTGAACTCTGGCAGGCCTCGCTTACACAGTGGGAGATGGCTGACACTGACGGTGGATAGCACCCAAGTGTTGCTGGTAGCCATCTCCCACTCCGGTAGGAATAGAGAGAGGCGCCCCCACTGGGATATGTGGTAAGAGGGCGTGAGTGGTCCCTTGCAAACGAACTGACTGGGACGGACCCACGGCGACAGCCTGCAAGTTTAACGGGAGGTCGGGGCAGACACCCCGCGACCGTGAAAAGGCTGACGGGAGCCAGACGAAGAGGCCTGCTCCTTGCCCTTACCTTTGGCGGGATGGCTCCTCCTCCTACCTCTACCCAGTGGCAGAAGCCAGCCGACAGACTCGGGCGTAGGCTGCGCCCTGGAGGAGGAACCTGCTACGGGAGCGCGGGAGTGAGAACCCTGTGGTTGCTCCAACAAGGCCTTAGAGTCCCTGAAGGAGGGAGCTGCTGCGGCAGCCCCCCGAATGACCTGCTGTGCCCCCGGAAACAACGTCGCTCCCAGTCGGAACGGAAGGGACAGCAAGGTCTGCTGTGTCGCTGCCCAGTAACGGGATGTAGACAGCCACAGCTTGCGCTTCCCCATGACTGCGCACATCACCGTAGACACGGCAGACCGCAAAGAATCTCACGCCAGGTGGGCCTGCACTTCGGACAATTGGCGAAGCAGAACAACATGCAGGGAAACGTCCCCAGTGCTCCCTTCCGCCTCCAGAGCCGACCTTTGAATAGAGGAAAGGTAGGCCTCATGGATCACCACCCGCACCTGCTGCATGGCAGCGGAACTAAACGCCCTTGCTTGGCAGCCAGGGCTGCACCTGAGGAAGCCGAGACTCCCCCGAGGGCGACCGAAGTGAACACGCTCTCGTCAACCACCGGCACAAAGAACAGAGAATCGTCCCCCAGCTGGTACCTCCTAACGAGTTCAGGTAAATCGAACCGGAGGCGTGTCCCAACCAGGAGGGGATCCATCACGTCCTGCACCAGGGAAGGCAAGATGCGGAGCAGTGTCTGCGAGGGTTGCCTAAGGCAAACGCCTCGCCCGGCAGGCAGAACTCAGCTGAATCCGAGTGACATGTGGGTACCGCGGCTTGGGGTACATACTCGGCAATACGCTGCCGAACCTCCCGGAGAGCCGACGAGAAACGGAAAGTGCCCTGCAGCTCCTCGACCTCCCCAATGTCCATAGACTCGGCACCCGAGACCGAGTCAGAATTTTGGTCTCCTCGTGAAAAGGATCTGAACCCCGACCCGGTGGGAGGCCGAGCCCCAGACACCGAGGGAAGGGAAGAGCCGAAGGAACTCCCGGCTCCGGCAACTGACACACTACTCGAACCCCGGTCCCGAGACACGGGAGGAAGACCGGACAGAACCGACTCCTCTGCTCTCATGGGGCGGGGTGGCGCAGGGACCGGAACCCCAGGAATCCTCAACGGACCCTGCGCCAGCACCGAAAGGGTAAGGGATCCCCCAGTGTCTCGGTCCCCTGTTCAGAGTGGGTGAGAAACTCCTAGCGGAGACCTCCAATGGACTCATGAACAACGGACTTCACGGAGTCCATATGCTGCTGAAACAATTGAGTGATTATTGACATATCAAAACCACTAGATAAGGATGATTGGGAATGCGACTTATGCGAAGACCTAGGTTTAGCATTTATCATGCTTGTCGGCTCTAGGGATATTTTGCCCACGGACAGAACACCCAGTAAACGCCTGAAAGCAAACACGCAAGCATGTAGCTAACAGCAGAACCAGCAGCATAAATATACACGTACAAAACATTGAAAATTACGTGAATGCGACCATGTGACATGAAATACTTGGTTAATAACGCAATATGACAACCATGTGGCACGCTAAACTTCCCGCCATGGAATAGCAACACGTGCGTAAACCACGGGAAAGCTAGCGTAAAGGTTTAATACAAAGTCACAGAAATGAGAAATAACAGACTGCAAAGTCAATTAAACTGTTCTTTTTCTTGTTCAAGAACGAATAAAGACCATACATACAGTTGTTGAAGTCTCAGACATTCTTCTACACAAAGTAAATCAGCTTGTAACTCAGGTCGTAAATACGTGTGAACGCTTGAGTGACAGCAGAAGGAAAGATGATACGGGCCTGGGTGCTTGCCTGGTTGGCTGCACATGCGTAGCAGGGAGGTAACTCCACGTGGTGGGGGGCGTATAATAGATAAAAATGATTTTTATTTATTGTACAATATTTTTATTAAAACATTGATACAACTGTCACATGACATTTTCAGCCGCAGAAAATTCATATATGTACCCCAAGGACGATCTCTATGAAAAAGAATCAATATACATTTATTGAATTTACAAGAAGATGAAAAAGGAATACCTAGATATCTATAGGAATCAACTGTTAAGACACATTCACCTTTATAAAACCATTTCTCGCTAAGGGTCCACCTCTTCTAAAAACAACAATTTGAGTTTTCTGTAGATTAACTGTCAACATTAGTATTCTGATCAAAGTACTTCTGTACAAATGTGAAAACCATCTCGTCAGTGTATGGGACAAGTTCATAATATCAGTGGGTAGGACTAGGTTGTAATCACAGTCACGCCTGATTGACTTGTCTGACAATTGGGATGTACGATTTGGGACGTCTAACTTTTGGGAGTAAACCATTATGTCAAATGGTTTAAAGTATATACTCCAAAGTGGAAGGAGAGTATTGAAATTCAGTTGAAATCTAACTTGTTGCCATGGAAATGCAACAAGATGACATCCTCATAGTCACAGCCTAGGTCACATTCCCATGGAAACCACAAAAAATAAAATGGATATCATCCCATTCAGGTGCCTTTGTAAATGAATCCATATGATGTAATGGGAATCTCTTCACATTAAATGATGGCAGATGCTGACTCTGGTACATGGATGCTTTCGCGGAGGGATAGTGACGGAGGGATAGTGACGGAGTCCAAGTCGTCGTTACGCATCATTTAAGTGTAGACTTCATCTTTATCCTTAGAAGGAGACTCCAAGTTCAACCCGTTGGCAATCCAAGCTGTAACCTCTGCGTCTGAGAAGACGAAGTCCGCTTGCTCATCCAGTATCTCCTGATTATTAAAGCTAGGCCTCCGCGTATCATTCATCTGCGAACCTGTATCCCTTCTCGAACCTGTATCCCTTCTCGAACCTTCATCATCCTTTCGCGAACCTCTGTCTGCAGATTCCTCCCTAAGTGAACGTCTATCTTGAGAGTCCTCTATGGCGGCTAGGTGTAGGAGATGGATCCTTGGATGTTCTCGAACGTTGAGGGTTCACAGATGTAGAATGATGAGTGGGCATCTCATGTCTTCTATCCTCCTCCAAGATGACAGAGTCGTCCGACTGTGGAGACCTTCGCAAAGGTGTACGCTCGCCAACGTAGTTCTCTGAGGAGTAGGTTCGCGCAGGTCCGTAGGTTTGCGCACGGTGTTCGGTAGATGAGAGGCTTCGCCGAGCCTTCGCTTCTTCCTCGAACCTGCGTTCCATCATGGTCATCATCTGGTTGGTGAACTGTCTCATAAATTCACCCGGGTCAAAGTTCTGCGTTGGTTGAAGCTGCTGCGGTGTAGACGAAGCGTTCGCGAACGCTGATGAGTTCTGTGCCTCGACTTCACTCCGTTGAGAAGTAAGTGGTAGTTCGTCAAACATCTGTCCTGCTGTGACCGTTGCAGGAGACGATCTAGTAGTTGTAGAAGTCGACTGAGTCGCTGATCTCGTAGGTACTTCGGGTAGAAGTAATGGGGGATCATCAAAAACGTCTACTTCATGTTGAGGTAATATCTCTTCGTTGAAGGATTTCTGATGCGTTGACTTACTAGCCCACGTAGATTTCAGTGTTCATGAATGGTGTTTCAAAGTAACAGGACATTGGGTCCTGTAAGTTTCAGATGTCTGTCTGACCCACTGAAAATTCACAGGACCCATAGAATAAAACATATTTCAGATTTAACATTTCTCATAATTGGCATTTAAATTATTAACACACATAAGATTTATAAACAGCAAACAAGTGTCACATGTCACATATAACAACTTCAGTCAAAGTCATTGTGAGATATACAGTTAGACACTGGGGCTGGCGGGTTGTAGATATCTATCGGAACGTTGGCGAATCTGCCGGTTTTGTCAGAGGGTCAGACGCTATTCGTGAACACTGTGATTTACCCTCCGATCTGGTAACAGATGCTTTCTTCTGCGATGTAGAAGAGGATGACGTCTTTTTCTTAACTTGAGTCAGAGTCAACTGTGTTGTAGCCGATCTCTTCTTAGCCCCCGTACCAGCAGACTGCCCCTGCAACCTTCTCAACATAGCACCAGTATTATGAATTTCAGCAGTAGCAAGCAACATACTGTTTGAGGGCTGATCTCCTGTTTTATCAGCCGTGACTTGAGATAACTTCCTCACCCGATCCATGGCACGTCAGTAGATATAAGACGAATATTGATTAAATTGAAGATTTGATAAATCAACACAATAAGTACAGCGCAAGCTGGAAGAACATGGTTTTATGCACGAAGGGCATTGGGGGGTGAGGATCAGCCACGGATAACCTGTGCCTGCAAACACTGCAAGATTTCATGAAATGTAAACAAAGTTACACAACGATGAAATTATGACATATATACAAATAATTTTTCCATTTTTTTTTATATACAATACAAAGTAGTTATTGCCAAATCCATATACAGCGTAATTTTGAAGAATAGGACCTAAATAAAAAGGATATAATGCCGTATATGGGACTCCAGTGCTCACCCAACCATCCACTTGGGCGAAAAGGGAGAGAGTGACAAGTAAGGCTGGTCACATGACAGTTTGCAGGAGAAAGGGCAAAAGGGAGGTAATTCGTGGGTGAGTGTATTTTTACGACTGCTTCGGGAACTTCAAGGGATTCAAGTGTTCCACTACCATTCGAAGAGGAAAGGGAGATAAGCAACAGATCATGAACCAAAAGCAAAAACACAAAATGTTTGGAACAAAATTTTCATTAAGAAAACAATACAACTGACCATTCCTTTGTTGTTGACAGCATTGACAGTTGCCCCATTGTCCAAGAGTTTGTTGACAACAATATCCTGGCCATTGAGGCAGGCCACGTGTAGGGAAATATTGCCGATGCCATTGACGGCATCAACTTCAACTCCCAGGTCCAGCAGCAGGTTGACCACACTGACCTGACCACTAGCCGAGGCAGCATGCAGCGGCGTGTACATCTGGGGGAGCAAATAATCACAAACATTCACAGGAACATTTTCATAGTGTTAAAAAAAAATCAATATTTTCCCCCCAGCTATAGCCAACAAACTATTCATGTTTTTTTCAAAACCGTGAATGAATTTTTTTATTCTGAACAAATTAATCCTGGAGCACCCACTCCTTATTATGAAAATACAATTGATGCTAGTAATGCATCTAACTTGATTTAGCAAGGCATTATGGAAAGTTTGTCAGCACCACTATCACGCTCATTCACTCCTTCCCACTTCTCTCTCTATTTTACATATATAAAACGAACGTTAACAGTTGAAACAAGACATAGATTATCCAAAGTTATGGACATGCTTTTGATCTTCGAGTGATCAGTGTTACCTTCTTATCCCGACAGTTGAGCTCAGCCCCATGATCCACCAGCAGTTTGACCACCTCGACATGTCCCATGTAAGCTGCCCAGTGGATCGCCCGACGGTCCTTTTTTGTCAAACGCATTAATGGTGGCTCCCTTCTCTAGCAGGAGCTGCACCATCTATGGAAACCAAACAATCATTACAGCATTTGCTCAGAATAATACGATCCAAAAGACATCATTTTGTATTTACCAATAATGGTGCCTCAGTTTATGTACGGAACATACCACTTTGATACTGATCTAAAGGATCAAAATATAGTTGCAGGCAACGATGTAGTCTCCTTGGCTTTACTTTCTATCTATTGTATCTGAGGGCTAGATATCATCGTCCAAACGGAGCCAGAACATGTGTTTTGACAGGCAAGCGGATCTTCCAAATACAGCCGGGGTCACGGGGGTCATGTACCTTTTTAAGAAGTTCCGGAGAAGAAATAGTTCCCTCTTTAAAAGGCTGTATCTCAGTTGTTCTTGGGTCTACGTTCAAAACAATTAGTGTTCTGGAATCACCAGGACATCATCTACCATACTGGCACTTTTTGTGCAGAATTTGCACATTTTGGGAGCAAACTATTCAGAAAAGTGCTGAAAAACATGGCCAAAAACTGAAAACAAAAATAACTGCAAAATGGTACGTTTTAGCGACCTGACCCGTCCAGGCAAAATTGTTGGGAATTCGATTGTGCATCTGTACAAGAAATTTGGAAGTGTTGGAACAATTAGTTCTTGAGATATTTGCTGTCAAACGTTGAAATTTTGGAATTAATTTTGAATTATCTCCCCTTTGTTATTGGGCCAAGAGCCTAGAGATTTTTAAAGGGGAATATCTACACCTCGGTGCGCATCTGTGTGATTTTTTGTAAGCGATTCGGAGCATTGGTTTAGGAGTTATGTTTGGTACAAAAATCGGCAGAATAATAAATAATAACAATAATAATAATCCGAACGATTACAATAGGTCTCCTGCCTAGAGGACGTTGGCTTATCTATGAGACTGGCTTATCTACGATCATATGCAGTATTTGTCAGGCCCTGTAGAAGTACTTCATTTCTGTTTAATCACTATACATACCTCCTTATGCCCATTGAATGCTGCATGATGGAGACTTGTGCGTCAGCTCGGTCCGACACGTTGACGTTGGTGAGGAGTGGGATGATATACTCGGCACACTTCACAGCATTGTTGGCCCCAGCCACATGTAGCGGGGTCTGCCAGTTCTTGTCGCGGGCATTCACATCAGCCTGGTGCTTCAGCAACGTCTCCACAGTTTCCTTCCAATACATCATCAACTTAACATCACAGTCAAAACAGTTCTCTATGTTTTGTATAAATGTCTTAGCTGAACGTTACTTCAATGTCTATGCAGAGAATGTACACATAGATCTTTCTCTTGGAATATGTTAATCTTCAGGTAGTTCTTGATCCCTTTCGTACACGTTTACTGTATATCCAATTTACAATGGGTAACCTCAGAAAAAATGGTGTGATTACTTTTTCTGTTAGGATAACCAAAGTAAACACTATTTTCAATAGTAAATGAGTTCCCTTAACCATAAACCAGCCAAAGACCTGGGTTTTACGCGACGCCCAAAGTACAAATACATGCAGGAATTGACGCAGAAAAACAATTCACTCCATCATGAGAGATGCACAATATTATTCATTGTACCGACGACACATCTATGATTTTTCTAAGCACTTGGTTTTTTCTTTCAGAGCAGTAATGTGCATTATATCACCCATCAGTCAATAGTATTAATGATTCAATCCAGGCTCAAAAGAGAAATGATCAGACCGTACAGTTCTCTGTACCGTTACTTCACAGGACCCTCACATTGCCTGCAAGGACCCCTAAAACTGATAATTGGATGTCTCTGGGACCACCATGTTTGTGAGTCAAGGTAAAACCCTTGTGAGAGACTGAACTCATAGGGAGCAATCCATCCCATAAACACCCACTGACACAATCAGTTGAGTCCGAGAGTCACACAATTCCCTTCCCAGCCAGCTCTGATAAAGAGTATGGAGCCTGTTATGACCAGAATCCTAATAATTCCAAATACTGAGTACATGAGATTAGAACATTTTCTGTCTGTTACTGACCTCGCTGCGAGAGCAACAAGCTCGATGTAGAGGCGTCAGCCACTTGTTGTCCTTGGTGTTGACTCGGGCACCACTCAGGATGAGGATGTCCGCAATCTCAGCTTCCCCACAGTAGGAGGCAGCATGGAGGGGACTTCTTTTCTCAATGTCCTGTATTGACAGGAAAACATGTACACCACATACCATGTGTCATAGTAAGAATCTACCCTTGCTTATATATGCTTACATTTGCTTCTGCATCAATACTGTCATATAACTGCATCCTATCAACTGAAAATGACAGTTTTCATTACCAGGACCCGAAAGAATAGTAATGCATGTGAATGTACATGGCACTATAACCAAATACAACAGCTGAAGTACTGACACTAATGAGAGCAAGTGATATTGGTTTAACACTACTTCAAACAGATTTCATCAGTCATCTTTAAGGGAGATTGTGTTGACGCTGCTTAGAACAGTATTCCAGGGCCATTGTGTTAGTTGATGTGGGAAGTAAGCTGACAAACCAATAAACATAAGAGGGGCAAACAAGGATTTAAATGCAAGATTGCAAGCTTCTGGCAAGAGAGGTAACTCTGCACAGCCAATTCTGTTGGCTCAGACAACTTGGCGACCTGCGACTCAATCAAGGTGCAAAGTCAAAAGCTTCAGTGACCCCTTAAAACGTGTAAAAGGTTTCATGCAAGACAATGTTCACATACCAAGGGAAATATGAAAATCAAAGAAAATATAATGCTTAATCAAGTTAATGATCAGTTCAGGTAAGACAGAACAGAATGCTGGCTAATGGCTATCCATAACTTAAGTTCGCATCCACATACCTGATAGTTGACATCTTCCTTTTTGTATAACAGGGCTCGAACTTCATCAGGATCCCCATGGAAAATAGCCTGCACTAGAGGAGACTGCAACAAGAGGCTCACGATTATCTACTACACTAACTATATCAACATATCATTGATTTCGATGCATTACCATCCGAAGACTAACATCTAATTATTAAAATAGAGCATAACAATGTAATTTAACATGCCACACATTCTAAACTTGCATGGGCTATATTGGGTATATTTGTTTCAGGATCTGTGTGACAGACAAACCATGCTAACAAAGGGCCATTCAAAACTTTTAAATATTTTTAGAAACACTTCACTTGGTCACCACCATTTTTATCAATCTGACGTTTACAGTATTTCTCAATACACTTACTGCTACCACTATGACCACACTACAACAGACTAATTTTTTATGTGCATTTCAAGCATCCTGAATAAAGGCTTCATACAGATTTTCAACCATTAAATTTAAGTCCTTTTTTAGCTTCGAGGCCCAGTCAACAATTTTAATTAACTATAGAAACACAATAACACATAAGTAGTGAATACACAAATGTGGGACAGACCATTAGAGTGGAATAACTGTAAGCTACATCGCTGCACTGGGAAAGTTTTAGTTTGCAAAGGAGACTAATCAACACCCACTGTCACTGCAAAGGTATTTTTATTACATACTGTTTCCTGTAAAATGATGATTTGACAAATTTTGCTAAATATTGTGACTTTTAAGAGCAAATCTCTGCCTTGTTAAGGCTAAAATGAATTTTGGGACTTTTTACGATAAAATGTCCAAATTTCAGGCTTTTTCAATCCTGTGCAAACAATCAAATACAAGCCAAAACACATCTTTGAAATATTCCAACTTTTGATCTTGGTAAATGAGTACAGTAACACTATTTTGCACATTTGCAAGAAGTCAATCTTCATCAGTAGGCATTCAAAATATTTGACTGAAACTTGTTCACACCACTGGCACTTAGTTGAAAATCTGACATAAATACCTCTGTTACCACTATCAGATAATAGTCCTGACACGGAAAACTGTGCTTGTTACATACAACCACAACAATGTCTAGCAACCTTGCTATCAACATGTAATTTTTAAAGTAAAATTGATATTTTTATACTTATCCTGACTCATGATCTTTTGCTTATCTCCCTTTCCTTTTCGCATGGTAGTGGAACACTTAAATCCCTTGAAGTTCCCAAAGCGGACGTAAACATACACTCACCCACGAGTTACCTCCCTTTTGCCCTTTTCCCGCGCAAACAGTCATGTGACCAGCCTTACTTGCCACTCTCTCCTGAATTTCTGTCCAGGCACTTGGATCTGCTTTGAAATCCAAAGTGTCTTCAGCGGGGAGGTTGGGAGGGCTTCTCGTCATGAGTCAGGATAAGTATAAATATATCAAATTTACTTAAAAAAAATAAATATTTTTCTTATCCTGACTCATGATCTTTTGCTTATAGAATCCGACGGATTGGTGGTGGGTGAAGCCACTTTGTGGATTCATCAGCTGTCCTTAGATACGTCCTGTATCCCCCACATGGGAACTGCGAAACGGCATTTCCTTGATCCTTTTCTTCCAACTTCCGTTATAACTCAGGGGGACCACTTCCTTGTCTTACTTCAGTCTCAGACAAGTTGAATCATGTTGATTCATGTGGCTACAGATAAACTAGTATCTTCTTATTACTAGATATCTCATAACAACCCACAGATTATGATAAGATCTTTATCATAAAAGAGTTGCGACCCGCTCCACAACAATGGTGTACGGTCTTGACATCATTTACAGACGTATTTATCTGAAAAAGTATTGTTTTATTGTTTATTGACCTGTTTACACAAGCCTAGCAATGATGTGGTGCATATATGAAACGAAACGCAAGATTACTGATACTCCATTAAATTCCATTCAGTACTCTAAATGTACTCTTAAGTTTTTCCAGTACTCCTATATCGAAAAAATAAGGAGTATGTACGCCTGATGTTGAAAATTTATCTGGAGCCCTGCTTCACGTACAGGTAAGATCTTTACCAGTACAGGATCTTTAATCACTCATGCTAGCCTGTCCTAGACTGTGCGCATGGACTTTCAAACTAATACTTTTTCCTTAGTAAAAGTTATCAACAAGTCAACGTGATAAAGGGTGAGATTTTCCAACTCAGCGCCTTTGAGGAACCGTTAGTTGCTGTGCTACAACTAGAGGCCTAAATTGGTGAATGCCTGAGACGTCTTCAGTGGCTATGTCTCAGCGGTAGTGGTTGGCAAACACCGTGTCCGACTACCAAAAGCAGCCCTCCATAATTGCTGGTATAGAGCAATTTCCGTGCAGAGCTAGTGTTGACGCCAGTGCTCTGACTTCATGTGGGTTGGAAGCTCTAGGAGGTTCTAGTCCTGCTGCTTTATAGGCTCTCAATATGACGGCTCTCATCCAGAACGATATCGTCGTTCTTGAGACTTCTGCTGATGTCTCTGTTGATAATGGGATGAACAGGCACTCGAATTTTTGTCTCCTTGTCTCAGTCTTTTGAAGATATATCTTCAGGGCTCTGACCGGACACAAAGATAGGTCTTCTATATCCTCTGGGCCGAGGATTGTAGATAGCGCTGGTACGTGGAACTGTCTATCTGGCTGACCAGGTAGTTGGTTCTTGGCAATGAAGTCCCATCTAAGTCCTAGATGAACTGCAGCATGTTGCCCTGTGTCGAAATCTGGTTCGACCAAAGTCCAGCGCAAGTATCTCTGATATTCGAGCTGCCGTGGCTAGCGCAAGCAGGAACAGAGTCTTCTGTGTCAGCAGCTCGAGTGTAGTCTGGTCTAGAGGTTCGTAGGCATCACTCGTAAGATGACGTAGAATTACATTCAGATCCCAGGCTGGAGCTCTGAACTTGATGCCTGTTTTCATGGTAATCACTGTACTACTGGCGGTGAGGTATGTAGATAATGTCGAACCTTTCAGATGTCTGGTCTGTCTAAGATGACACAGATATTCCACCACTTGAGGATGAGTAGCTTTCATCGCAGTGAAGCCTTTCCGCCTTGCATAAGTCTCAGACTTCAGCCATTTGTCATCATACAGGTTAGAAGTAGATCTGCGTAGCGCTAGCGTTACTGCCTTGGCTGCCCTGGCAGAGTATCCTCTTTTCTTCAAACATGTTTTGATACGGTCCACACGTGTAGCTGGAACAGTGTCGGGTTCCCGTGGACTTGGTGTGCGGATATACGAGTAGGTTCGGCCAATCTGGTAACTTGATTGCTGGACTTCCTAGATCTTCTATTAGGTCTAGGAACCATACTCTCGCTGGCCAGTATGGCGCAACCAAAGTCAGTTGTAGCACCTGTGTCTGTTTGATCTTCAACAGTTCTTCTGGAAGTAATATCAGGGGTGGAAACGCGTAAGCGTTTAGTCCTTCCCAAGATATGCTCAGTGCATCTGTTGCCCAGGCTTGAGGATCTGGAACTGGTGAGACAAACGTCTGTAGTTGCTTGTTGAACCTCGTGGCAAACAGGTCTATGCAAGGGGATCCTTTTTCCCTTATGATGAGCCGGAACGCTTCTGGATGGAGCATCCATTCCGTAGGTGACGGGTGCAGTGGTCGGGAGAGAGCATCTGCAAGTACGTTCTTGGCTCCAGGTACGTGACAAGCCTTTATCCAGATGTCTGCTTCCTCCGTGATGTGGAACAACTGGAATGTGAGCTGTAGCAGGCTTGGAGACCTTGTGGATCCTTGCCGATTTATGGAGAATGCCACTGTAGAGTTGTCCGTGTGGACCATCAGCATTCTGTTGTTCAGCGAGCTCGACCACAGTTGTGAGGCGTTGATCACGGCTTTCATCTCCAGCAGATTGATGTGAAGATGCTGGTCTATTTTGGACCACCTTCCTGATGCAACTTGATTGTTGAGATGCGCACCCCAGCCCTGCATCGAAGCGTCTGGGTAGAGATGTGTGTCGAAGGCCGGCTCTTGTCAATAGGTCCCTCCACAAACGTTCGACCTGTGCGTGCACCACAGTAGATACCTCTTGAGGTTGTCTGGCAGCAAGATAGGGTCGACGCTGTCTAGATGTTTTATCAGCAGCGGTCTTAGTTGTAACCTTCCTGTGTGAGTCAAGTCCTGCGCCGAGGTTATTAGACCGAGTAGAACTTGCCATGATCGTAGTGTTAACGGAGAGATGACTGCTGGTGGAATCATGGCTTGTATCTTGACCCAACGATCTTCTGGGACGACAATACGATTCTCTGTTGTGATAAACCTTATCCCCAGAAATAGCAGATCTTGTTTTGGTTCCAACTCTGACTTCATAAGGTTCAACAGCCATCCTAGTTGAGTGAGCAACTTGATCGTGAAGTTCAGCTGTAGTCTGAGTTGACTGGCATCTTGGTAAACCTGAATGCCGTCGTCCAAGTAGAAGGCATTGCGTAGACCTCGATGATGTAGATATGCGACTATAGGCTTGGTTACTCGTGTGAATAGCCACGGAGACGAAGATATTCCAAACGGTAGGACGTTCCATTGGAAGTGCTGCCCTCTGAATAGGAATCGTAGATACTTGCTTGATTCCGGATGTATGGGGATGTGTAGGTACGCATCATGCAGGTCTATGCTGGCCATGTAATCTGCTGGACGGACGAGTAGTCTGAGTTGAGGTAGGTGGATCATTCTGAACCTCTCTGGTTTCAGTAGATAGTCTTTGTTGAATTTGCGCATGTTGTAAATCAGTCTGAACTTCTCCTTGGAGTTCTTCTTGGGTACTAGAAAAATTTAGGGAATAGAAGCCTGGAGTGAGATGCTGCTGATCTATTATCTCTACCGCCTCCTTCATAAGTAGTGAGTCGATGGCTTCTTGTAGTTTGTCTGCCTGTTCCTCTGCATAGCAGTGATAAATCTACAAATTCAACTGCCTGAGTCCCTAACAAAAATTAATGCCACAAATATTATTCAAACTGGTTTATTGTTACTATAGGTTGCACAGGTGAGTCTGACCGGTCTGGGATATTATGGTAGTACCTAAATCATAACAAATGGAGACTCTTCCATTTTAACTTGTAGTTCATACCC